GAATAGAATAGAATAGAATAGAATAGAATAGAATAGAATAGAATAGAATAGAATAGAATAGAATATAGAAAAAAGAGTTGGAAGAGACCTTCTAGTCCAACCCCCCTAGACAGGAAATCCTATACCATTTCAGACAAATGGTTATCCAATCTTTTCTTAAAAACTTCCAGTGTTGGAGCATTTACAACTTCTGGAGGCAAGTTGTTCCACTGACTAATTGTCCTATCTGTCCGGAAATTTCTCCTTAGTTCTAAGTTGCTTCTCTCCTTGATTAGTAATTAGTAATTCTTTTGTTCTTAAGTTTTGCATTATCTATATTCAGAAATTGTAGGTGCTTCATCACTGGAGGTTTTTTAAGAAAAGACTGGACAACCACCTGTCTGGAATGGTATAAGGTCTCCTGCCTGAGCAGAGGGTTGGACTAGAAGACCTCCAAGGTCCCTTCCAGCTCTATTCTGATTATATAATTTTAAAGAGGACCACTTAGTGCATATTAGCACTATTACTTGTTGACAGAACTCAATTACATTTGAAATCTGTTTGCCTACAAAAGGACTAAGCATACCTTTCTCCAATAATGTCTGCCTCAATGCTTTGGCAAGCAAAACCCGTACATTTGGCACAGGATCAGAAGCCAGGCTTAGAAGGCTGGGCAACAGGTGTTCAACAAACTGGTCCACGGGCATGCATTCTTCTTCAACTACTGCCTTTAATCAGAAAATAGGAAAAAGCTCTACAGGTAGTCCTTGACTTACAACAGTTTGCTTAGTTACAACAGGCACTGAAAAAAGTGACTTATGACCAGAGCTGTGGTGGCGCAGTGATTAGAATGCAGTACTGCAGCTACTTCTGCTGACTGCCGGTTGTCTGCAATGTGAATCTCACCAGGCTCAAGGTTGACTCAGCCATCCATCCTTCCGAGGTCGGTAAAATGAGGACCCAGATTGTTGGGGGCAATAGGCTGACTCTGTAAACCACTTAGAGAGGGCTGTAAAGCAGGGGTGAAATGCTCCCAGTTTGGACCGGATCGCCCGATCCACTAGCGATGGCAGCAGGTGGTTCGGAGAACCGGTAGCAAAAATCCCTACGCCCCCACCCCCACCATGCCCAGCTGAGCCACACGATCATCAGAGGCTTTTTTTTTTAAACTTTTAAAAGCATTTTTTCTACAACCTCTTCCGACGAAAAAATGCTTTTAAAAGTAAAAAAAAAAAAGCCTCTGATGATCACGCGGCTCAGCTGGGATCGTCAGAGGCTTTTCAAAGCATTTTTTTCTGCAACCTCTTGGCTGAAGAGGTGGTAAAAAAATGCTTTGAAAAGTCTCTGACGATCCCAGCTGAGTTGCCTGATCGGCAGAGGCTTTTCAAAGCATTAGAAAAAATGCTTTGAAAAGCTTTAAAAAGAAAAAAAGTTGGCCACGTCCACCCAGTCACATTACCCCCCCCACCAAGCCATGCCCACAGAACCGATAGTAACAAATTTTACATTTTACCCCTGCTGTAAAGCACTACGAAGTGGTATATAAGTCTAATCTAAATGCTATCGCTATTTTTCACACTTATGACCGTTGAACCATCCCCATGGTCACATGATTTACATTCAGATGCTTGATAACTGACTTATATTTATGACCGTTGCAGTGTCCCGGGGTCATGTGATCACCTTTTATGACCTGACAAGCAAAGTCAATGGGGAATCCAGATTCACTTAACAACTGTGTTACTAATTTAACAACTGCAGTGATTCACTCAACAAATATGGCAAGAAAAGTCGTAAAATGGGGCAAAACTCACTTAACAGATTTCTCACTTAGCAACATAAATTTAGGGCTCAATTGTTGGTCGTAAGTTGAGGACTACCTGTATTTAGAGGGGATCAAGTGAACTGATATGGATTATTGCAATTATATATGAATTTTGCTAAAATCTATAGTTGCAAATAAATGTATTACTATAACAACAGCTAAAAGATAATTATCCTTATGAGACACTGCCTTTAATGAAAATAAAATACATTACTGACCAAGCTAACCTTCATAGATATAACAATTGTAATATGCTATGTATCCCCATGTGTCTGTCTGTGTCTATTCAGATTTAGCATAACCACATGAATTTTACATGGGATTGGAACAATGGCTGTTTGTTGAGACATGCTAACAGGTCTTTTTAGATGTGCTAAAGATGCAAAACAGCCGGATACTCTACTCAGCAGTTACATCCAAAATAGCTAATTTCTTGCTGATCTTTGCAGAGAACTTTTGTTGATCTATGCGCTCTAATACGTGCACATTGCAAGTCAAATCATCTTGCATCCTCAAAACTTCTAAAAATAGCCTAAAAAGCAGAACACAGTCCATCCCATTGACAGATGGTACAACACAGTGGTGGTACTGAATGTTCAGTAATATTAATATTGCACAGGCAAAATGGAAGAAATTGATTACAGCTATAATGCTTAATAGTACAATTACGTAAAAAATAATTAGATGTAGAACAAGGAACTAAAGACTTCCTTAACTTTCTTCAGCATCATGCAAGGTATAAAAGATAGCACACATCACACAAGAGACAGGTTAGCTTCTGATCCGTTTGATACTCAGAAGAAAGTTTTATCTTTTCTGCAAACAGTTTTGATATTAACACAACCTTATATCAAATCTAGTTCACATGATATTAATGCAAAAGAGCTTAGGCTGAGAAACTGTACGCAAAGGCTATTTGGTTTTATTTAAAAAGTTACATGGCGTTTTGTTTAATGAAATACAGACCTAATTTCAATGTATCACAATTTATACAATAGCAGCTGTGGGAAGCTGTTCTGACTTCTGTAGTATCCACAACGCCCACAGAAGCTATGAAATGAAGAGTTATTAAGCTACTAGTTAACAAATTAGCTTTACAAAGCCAGAAAATAAATTTGCTTGGTACCACATGAATTTCCTTCAATCCTTAGCAAAAGTTTTATCTAGAAATGTAAGAACTTAATTTAAAAAAAAAAAAATTAAACAGCCAAAGAGTGATTGCCATTGGTAAGCAATGCAGGTATGTGTCATCATGCTTTCGGATCACAACGTTTAGCGACATAGATTCCCATCGTAAATTGAGGACTACCTAAAGGTATAAAATAATCTTCCCCAAATAAGCTAGTGAGAAGAGAATTATAAAAAGAAAAAAAATCACCTGCATTATCATGTGTGTCTGTTTATATTCATATTCTGAAAATAACCTCAGAAGTATATGAAAGTGATTTTTTTCCCCTTTCCTTTCAATGATGTCCAATTCTCAGAAACTGCCTGGACAACTCCCTGCATTTTTCTTGGCAAGGTTTTTTTAGAAGTAGTATGCTACTGTTTCTTGGTTACACACCTGAGCCTAGATAACCAGAACAAGTTTCCTTAGGGTACCTTTCATGTTTTAAAGTTACAGGTTCTCTCCTCAAATTTCAAGTCAAATTTCTCACGCAGGGGACTTAGGGTATGATTAGCCTTAATATCGAAATTGCATCAGAGAGCTCTGCTCTTTGCTCACATCACAGACGCCACAAGACGCAGACTCACCTGGCAGATGAAGGCAAATGCTTGTCGACCAACCCACTTGGAACAATGGCGGAATCTCATAATCAACTCATTAATGAAATTTAATCCCAGAGAGGTTGCATTGTATGCATAGAACTTCTGCAGTATTGCTACGGCCTGCAAAAATATCAAATAATCAAGCAGGAGCAGGGACAGCAGTAGTTATAAAATACCATTCCCACAGCAAGTATCACTCATTACACATTTGTTTCCTGTGAATCTCTATAAATAAATATGATTATTATGAACCTTGAGAAAAAAAATGCTGAAATAGGTTTCTAGCATTTAAAAGTAAAGTAAAGACAAGGGTAGAGAAAGCTTGAACAGCATTCTTCAAAATGAAAAAGTTCTTCTGCAGTCACGACATAAGTCTAAGATTGAAAATCAGGCTTTCAGATGCTACATCTTTTCTATCCTGCTCTACGGAGTGGAGAGTTGGTCTCTGACCGAAAGCCACTTGAAGAGACTAGAAGCATTTAAAATGTGGATTTACAAACAGCTGTTATGTGTAAGCTCAGTTGACAAAATCAGAAATGAGGAGGTGATAAGCCGCCTGGGAAGGCAAAGGGAAATCATCAAAACCGTTAAAAAGCTAACGTTAGAATATTTTGGACATGTGATGCAACGTCTAGAAAAATACTTCATTTAATCCTCCTGGGAAAGACTGAAGGCAAACGAGGTCCAGGAAGACGAAAAACATGTCTTCAAAATCTAAGGGATTAGTTTGGACAAAACTCAGCAGCACTTTTTTGTGCAGCTGTTAATAAAAATAGGATTATTAACATGATCGCCAACGTCCAATGACAGATATGGCACAAGAAGAAGAAGAGCATTTAAAAGTAGACTTGTTACGTCAAATGACTATATCATGTAGAACAAAAGGAGATAAAGACTGGTGCTTTACCAATTTGAAGGAGATCCACCTAACTTCAGAAACTTTATCTGAACAGAGCGTTAGTGCAATATGTCTTAAGTGGTCGTACACATCATTGGGATTATAAAGTTCAAGTATCAAAATGAGCTGCCTGAAAGAAAAAGAAAAAAAATTAATTATATACGTTCTAGCTTTTAGCTGAAAATACAGATAAGTCTGGAAAATAACACTATTAAGGAATATCAACAGGAACTCAGCATTTTGCAGTGGCTTCTTCCGAACTTTCTGCTTAAAGAATCATTTACAGATCAATTACGATCTTTAGCTGCCCAGAGTTGCCTTTTCACTGAGATGTGCAGCATATATATATTTAATGGGTGGATGGGTGAGTGGGTGGATGGATGGGTGAACAATTTTAATATCCTTTAGATTCTTGAATTATATTCTCCTTACTGCTGGTTATATATATATTTAATTTTGTATTTTTCACTGGTGAAATACCTGTAACTCAAAAACCAACCTTGAACAACAATGGAAGATGCCAACATTAAGCTACATATATTCACTGCTACTGCAAGAAATATAAGGCCATGCTTGCGCCATATGGGCACCTACTAATAAATACATTTACTAAGTGGTTGACTACAGTAATCTGAGAAACTAATGCAAGAGGGCAACACTTGACATAAAAGAAAATGTTACAAGGTTTTGCCACTAGATGTCAGAGATGTTACAATATGTTACACCATCAGACTAGTAACATTCATTTGCAGTTAACACAAAATTAACCAAATTATGCAACAGTAGCATCAAAGGTACTGGAACATAAGGAAGAAACTTATTTCACTTACAAAATTTGAATTTATTTAGCTTCACACAACAGAATTCAATGGAGTATTTTTTGTTTCTTTGAATTTTGCTTATATTACAACAAGTAAGTTTGCAAAAAAAAAAAAAATGAGAAAATAAAATTTGTTGCTGTAGTTGTAATTTAATAGTCTGCCATATTATACGACTTTTGGCAGTTAACAATAATTCAGTGTTGACTTATCAATGGAGGCTATTCCACAAGCCTTGGGTCACCATGAGAACAGAACACATTGAGGAACCCCACATCATCCCATACCGGACAGGAAATGTGACATTACCAGCAACATTTTCTGAAAAATGCACCCCAAGGGGATTAAATCTAGTTGGTGGGATGGTCCTGTAGGTTAAGTCAGCACTTTTAATTACATCTGGATAACTGTCGAAGGCCTGAACATTAATGTAATATAATCATAGTGCTGAGCACATGCTAACATGCAGGGCATTGCATTCTAGAGCAATTGCAGTTTCTGAGCAGCAGCCTCCAAGGGCAGTCCAATGTCAAGTGCATTGCAGTAGTCCAGGCAAGTACTGAGGACAGCACATGTCCTCCTACTCCAAGCAGGGGTGAACTGGCAAGTGGGCCAAAGCTGGGCAAACAGCCTCCTGGGCGTAGCCTGCACCTACCTCCAGCAATAGCTATCAGTCCAAGAAGAACCCCAGTCACACCTTTGCTCCCAAAGGGGCAGGGCTACTCCCTTGAGAGAACCACTGGAACTAACCGAGGGCCACAGTGAACAAACAGCAACTTCGTCTTGCTTGGGTTCAGTTGAAGCCTGTTTTCTCCCATCCAGACCCTAAGAATCTCTAGGCACTGGGACAAAATCTCACGGCATCTTCAGCTGAGCCTGGGGTAGTGATATATAATTGAGTATCATCAGCATATTGATGATTCTATTCCCCAAACTGTTGGATGACCTCACCCAGCAGCTTCATGTAGACATTAAATGTTTTTTGGGGGGGTGGAGGGAGAAAAATCAAACCTTACAGCAGTAATTTTTCTTCTCTTTTCTCCCCCATTCACCATACCAATTGGAATAATCCATACAGGAAGGAGCAAAATTTCTGAAATTAATACCTCCAATCCCCATTCCTCACAGGTTGTCCAAGATTCTCTGGCCGATGATATCAAAGGCTGCTGAGGGATTTAGTAAACCCAGGAGATCTCCATCCAGGTCCTGACAAAGAGTGACCAATGCCATTTCAGTACCAAGCTCAGGCCTGAGCACTGAAAAAGGCCCAAATAATTTGCTTCCCCCAAGACACTGTTTTAATTATGCCTTCTATGCTTCAAGGTAAATAACACATCCATTAAACAATAGGCTTATGGAAAAATCAAAGGAATCTTAACTTACTCTGCAAGTTCATAACGAAATCTCCAATTCCTGCTATTGTCAGTTACCACAAATTCTTGAAGCTGATAAAGGTACTCACGTCTTTTTTCAGCATGAAGCAACTAAAAACAAAACAATAAAAAACAATATGTCTGGCAATTGATTTTTCTTTTGCCTGAAGGCACACACAATGTTTGATGTTAATGTAACATCTGTGAAACATGAAATGCTTATTTCATAGAAATACTTCATTCGCAGTACAGGTAGTCTTCAACTTAATACAGTTCATTTAGTGACCGTTCAAAGTTACAACAGCACTGAAAAAAGTGACAGGGATTTTTTTGGGTAAGATGGCTACCAAAAAACCTGTCTGTATAGGACAAGGATCATTAAACATGCATAAAATCCAGGAATATAAATGTGGAAGAAAGTGCTCCTTCAGGTAACTTGGTCTTAAGCCATTTTGAGCTTTAAAGATCAAAACCAACTTTTTAAAATGGGCCTGGAAATGAATCAGCAAAGAACTACAGGTAGCCTTCGGGTTACAACGATTCATTCAGCGACTATTCAAAGTTATGATGGTCCTGAATGAGTAGTATTGTCAATCCTGAAGCTGGCCTGACTGAGGCCATTTTGAGACTTCAGCACTGACACACTGGAGAAGAGGGATAGGGAGGGGGGAATAGAGATAGTTGGGGTGTTGTAATCAAATGAAATACTTTCTCCTGGGAACCAAGGGCATTCCTGCAGCTGTTCAGAAGGAGGGGCCTGGAGTCATCTAGCAACTGGACAGCGTCCTGATTGGACCATGTGATTGATTGTTTTGAGAAAGTGAAAAACTTTTAATTTTAATTAGGTGAAAACTGCAGGAATAGTCAGAGTTGGTTTTCACCGGCCTGTGCCAATATGATATACCCAATAAAATTATTCTTTGAGTACCTGACTCAGAGTTTTGTTTGCTATGGGTATGTTACTTGGAACCCTGACAAGTATATTTAACGAGCCCCTGCAGTCATATAATCATGATTTTTGCACACCCCGTTGGCTTTGCACAAGCAGTCAATAGGAAAGCCAACAGGGAATTGAAAGTTCAAGGATCCTTGTTTAAGGATCCATGCTATTCCTATTTAACGACCGCCAAGGTCCTTTCCAACTCTGTTGTTCAGTTAAAGCAGGGGTGTCAAACTCAAGGCCCGGGGGCCACATCCAGCCGCAAGGTGCTTAAATCCGGCCCGTGGGAGAGCCCTGGAAAGAGTGAAGGATCGGCCCATGGTGCCTCTGCCAGAGAAAATTGGCTCCCAATCTCCGTTTTTGGCTGGGATGGGCTCCAGCAACCTTCTGCCAGCAAAAACTGAGCTCCATTTTCGCTGGCAGAGGTTTGTAGGAGGCTGCCCCAGCCAAAACAGAGCTCGGGAGCCCATTTTTGCTGGCAGAGCACTCGGGCCACTGGCACCCGACACAAATGACGTCAAGCTGGCCATGCCCACCCTGGCCACACCCACCCTATCCCCCCCAAGGTCAAACACAACCCTGATGCGGCCCTCAATGAAATAGAGTTTGACACCCCAAGTTAAAGTATCAAGAGCGGTGGGGCTACTGGAATTGCCATCGCTAAGTGATGCAGTCACATAACATCATGTTTTAGGACTGTGTCCCTTAGCAATGGCTTTTCTGATCCCAACTGCTGCTGTAAACTGTATATATGTTTGTATCAGCCAATCCCAGTGAGTATTCCTATTGTAAACTGAGGTTTCCAGACCATTTTCAAAGCAGACCCATGCTCAGCAACTGCAATAACCCAACCAGGAAATTGCCAGAGCATGAATGACTGTTGTGAGGCTGTCTCTAAATCTGGGTCTTTTTTCAGGAGAGAGGTAGGTAGAGCAAATGTGAACTATCCCTACCTTTAAGAAATCATAAAGATGTTTGAGGATTCCAATGCGTACTTCATCCAGATCTTTTAAGAAACCATTGAAAATAGGCACTAAATCGGCTGCTGTTAGCTGATCTCCCAGAATTACAGCCAACTCGTGAATGGAAAAAGCAAGCGTGCGACGGACTTTCCACTGAAAATAGTTCATATAAATGGGCAGAACAGTACAGAACACAGTTGAGTAAGCACAGTAAGGTTAAAAGAATATTTAAACAAGCAAAACCTAAGGTATGCACATTTACAATGCTACCAAATTGCCAATAAATCTTTTCTCTCAGGACTAGAACCAAAGATAATTCAATGGCGCTGAATAGTGAACAATTTCAGACTAGTAAAAGGATAAACTTTTCCACCTAAAAAAAATATTGAAATCCTGATAACTAAATGAAATGGTCACAAAATTATTATTTTAGTTCATACTAAAATAAAAAAATAGCAAAAATCTACCAACATTACTTTGCCTGCCCGAGGAGGAAGCAGTTATGTTTGTTAGCTGTAACTGTTCAGTGTTAGTATTTCTGATGGGATATGTGCCATTTGGCGGGGGGTGGGGGTGGGGGGGAGATCATGTAGAATTTCAAAAATGTAACCTGGACACTTTCACACAATGACTATTTATGATGGGGTGATGAATCAGAAAACACCAATTTACTGAAAAGCAAATAGACTATTTCTGCCATAATATGTAACCGCCATCCCCCATCCCTGAATGTTATGTTATTTGGTCTTTTTTGGGTGGGCAGATGTGTCTTTTTCTTATGATATTCTCTTCATAGAGATTTTGGTCCAAAACTTAACTATTTAGAAAAGAATATGTGTAGCTCAAGGTTGAACTCTGGAGTCCTTGGAGTTCACCTAGCTTGGTTGTTTTTTGTTGACATTTCATTACCCATCTGTGTAATGTCGTCAATGCTAGGTACTGATGTTACCTAACTGGGGAATGAAACAAGAAAATTACCAAGTTCAGGCAGCACTAAGGACTCCACAATTAACTATTTCCAGGAAATCTGGAAAAATATAATTTTTTTACTATATAAACTAACATTCCAAGTGGGCTAGGTGGTGTCTTATTTACCCCATTAACCTGATTTACTGTAGCTCTGGTACAGACTAGTGATAAAAGTAAGCCATTTATACACAAAATAAATGTATATGACTCAGTGCATTTAGAACATAAGCAGAGCCCTACTGGATCCATCAATTCCAGCAGTCTGTTCTCACAGAAGCCAACCCACTGCAGATGGCATTCAGAAGCAGCCATGCTGCCATCAATGCTAATATAAACCCAACAAAAAACATACAAACAAGGTATCAATTTTCTGAAGTATCTACCTCCTTAAGACTTAAGGGAACTTACTTTGAAAGGGATTACCTTAAACAAACCAGCAGAGATTAATAATAAATACTGCATGCTTCTCACACATTTATATGCATAGCTTATATGCATAGCAAAGCAATACCGACTGCTTTGTATTTTACCTGTACGTCGGATGCTAAAGTTTCATAGGTGTCCTTCAAACAATGCCAATTTTGCCTGCCAAGTGTTAAGGCCACACCAGGAAGACTGTATGCACAGTGTTTCGCAATTTCAGTATCAACTGTCTGTGCTCGAGCAGGGTCTGTCATAGATAAATACTGCTCCAACAAAGGCTGAGGTATAATGTCCTGAAGATTAAAAAAAAATACTAAATTATTGATAACAATAAATTAAACAAGAGTAAGGCTATACCACTGCTAAAAGACACCTGTTCTTTTAGTATAGCATTCTATCTCTTCCTCCAGATGGCAACCACATAATGCCAGTGTAGAAATATACAATGGGCCAAACACAATCAGTTCTTCAATAGGGAATAATCAGCTTCTTCTACACTGTCACATATGCTAAATGTCACACCAGTCTGCAAGGCCAATGAACTAGATAAAAGGAACTGGAAATAAGTTACAAACCAGAAATAGACACATTTTGTGTATATAGTATTATAAAATTATACATCTTTACAACACTGATGGCAGTGAATCAACCTTTGATATTTCAGTGTTTGGTTTCAATTTTAACATTAGTTACACAATATAGTTTTTACATTTCTGAACTTGCTACAAGAAATCAATGTATTTCACAAGTAATGAATAAACTGTTCAAGCCAAACTATGTTTATTTTTTATAATAAAATCCAAGATTGAAGAAAATTCCAAATAGGATAAGTGAAATATTCAAGCTGGGTTAATCTAGATTAAGCATAATGTTTTTTGTAATAAAAGGAGACAAGAAGTATGAATTGGATGCAGATTCAAAATAATGCCTAGGGCCAGGTTTGAAAATAATGTTTTATCAAGCTTAAATCTCTTTACATAGTAATAAAAATATGCATCAGTCAGCACTGAAGTACAAGAGTTAGTTTAAGAACAGGTTTTTTAAAGATCTCAATTATGACCAGGAATATCAGAAAAATTGGAAACCTGCAATTTTGATTTATCTTCTTCAAGATGTGGATCATTCTCTTGTGCCTCTAAAGCTTTGTTGACATCATTGTGTTGTTCTTCTGACTTCTGTAAAAGTGCATAATAATAAAATATACATCATTAAAATGCAATACAACTGAAATGTAACAAAAAATCTATTTCTAAGAATTAAATTACTGTGATTTTAAAAAGGCCAAAAGTATCTTTGTATTATATTGCTTCTACATTCCACTTAAACAGAACATTGGGCCAAGTGTAGAGAAAACCAATAAACATTTGTTCCATTTGGCTTGGCTCAAAAAGCAGTAAATTTCAAGCTTAACATTTATTTTTCTTCCGGTGTCAGCATTGGGATACCATTTTTAACATTTTTCTAATAATTCACTGAAGATCTTTGAGTGCCCTATCTGCAGGTTATCAAGCTTTCTTTTTGTAAGTCTTTGCCAATCTAAGTATTTATTGGGAGAACTTCCAAGATTCAGTAATTAAAGGTAGTCTTCAACTTGAAACCACAATTTGATCTTAGTCATAGAGCGAAAACAGTAGTAAAGTAAGAAGCCCACATGAACGCATCACTTAACGACCATAATCCTGGCACTCCGAGTTGTGCTCATTAAGCTATCTCCTGTACTGTTAAGTGAAGTGAAATAGATGCCTACCGATGTCAGCTTCCCTTTATGCACCAAAGGTAACTCCTCTGAAGGGCTTCAGAGCTTAGATCTTAGGGATTTTATCTCTGTTTCTATAACCCATCAGAGGAGTTCCCTTTGGTGCATAACTCTCTTTGAGAGTTCCCTTTTGCTCTCAAAGAGCTGCCTGCCAGGAGGGAATTTCAGCTACTCAACAGGTGGCAACAGCTTGCAACTTTTCCTGCCAGTTTCCCCACTGACTTTCTGGGGAAGCCAGTAGAGATTAGAAATGACTATCACATGATCGCAGGGCGCTTGATAATAAGTGCAAAAACGTTGCCAGGCATCTAGATCATAATCATGTGATCATGGGCATAGTGGAGCAACATTTTGCGATGGCCAATAGTGCTTTATGAGCTGTAAATTGAGGACCACCTGTAAATAGCTTTTAGGTTATCTTTAACCTATGTCTAACTGAGTGAACCTTTCAAGTTGCATTTGCTTTCTAATGTAATTTTCAATCCAATTCCCTGGCTAAAATTCAAAGAAACAAAAATTATGGAAAATGATTGATGGACAGTTGACCACCACCTTCCTTTCCCACAACACATATTTACCGCATTTTTTATTATAGTTGGATCAGGTAACTTAATCACATCAGCCAGACTTGGCAATGAAGATAAGATATTCACATCTGCTGTTCTGGAAGTACAGACCAAATTTGGGATGTCTTCTTGATAGGTATCATTAACTTCCACATTCTGCTTGCTGTCACAGCCACTGACAGAATCAAGATGGGCAGCTCTGAGTGCAGCAGACAGTACTTGAACCTGAGCTGATTGAATGGAATAAGTCCCATTAAGTTTTCAAATACCGTACTTCATTTTCCAAAATATTAAAAACATGTAAGACTTTAAATAAAACAGCTATGGATAATGAAAATATTGTATACACTGGTTCTTAAATCAATGAAGGTGGGTTTATTTATGGCCATAGGGAATGTTCAGATCCAGAAATGTTTATAAAGACAGGATGACCTTGGAAGTCACATATAAACATTTCATGGAAGCTACACATAAGCTGAAAGTATCTCGAAATCAGAGGTCTACAAAGAGAGTCACAGAGTAAGAATGACATTCTGAGCACTCTTAGTAGTCATAAAAAATATTAAATACAGTGAGATTGCCTGCTGAATAAAAATACTTAAGATTGGCACTTAAAAATATTTATTTGGATAAATATTTATGAAGACCTGGCTATTATTTCAAGTTCTAGAGTTAGGGCATTAATGGCTGTGTGATATGCACATTACCCTTTTACTGGACTTTTTTCCCAGGGCCTTAACTAGTTTTTTCTTTTGTTCAGCGGCCCCCAACCTTTCTAGCTTGGCGGCCTGGCTTGGCCTGGTCTGGCAAAGGGGGGGGGGAAGGGCGTCACAGGCGCAGACACACAGCTCCATTTGTGTGAGCGGCATGTGCACGCCCACTTGCGCTCACAAAGCTCCACTTACACGAGCAAAGGGAACTTGTGTTCACCCGCGAAGCTCCATTCACGTGAGTAACCTCTGTTTGCGCGAGTAGAGCTTCACACACATGCACTTGCCCACAAGGCCTGATTTCGAGCCAGCCATGGCCCGGTAGTGGGTTGCAGCCCAGCAGTTTGGGACCCCTGCTTTAGTGGACTATGGCTTTGTTTTTGCTTTCATCTTTGTTTATTTTGAGTACATTTGACAGATGGACAGCCATATAAATGTGTTAAATAGGTCAGTGTGCCTGAAGACTGGGAAATTGGTAATGAATTGGTATGACAGAGTGGCTGGTTATGTCTGGGAAGAATGGGACTATACGTAGTCCTTGACTTATGACTAATGGTTTAACAACTGTTTCAAGTTTTAACAGATTTGTAAATTGGTACTTATGACCAGGCCTTGAAGTTACAATTGCCATCCCCCATGCCACAATCACATGACTGTATTTAAGCATTTGGCAACTGGTTCACATTTATGACCGGATAAAACATCCCAGTCTTCTGACCATTATGTGTGACACTTTTTGCCAGTTTTCAGCAAAAATACCCATTCAAATGACAGCCATGTGATTTGTTTAACAACTGCAGTGATTTGCTTTACAACCATTGTAAAAATGGTTGTAAAATCTAGTCTGGTCAAGCGCTGCCACAATTTACACCACTGTTTAGATGGTACAAGCAACCAACTCCACTATTTAGGAAATTTAGCCAAATTATCCTTTAGTTGCCTAATATTGGAGTATAGTCACAAGTCTACTTTTTCATGGCTGTAGAGACGATCAGGACTCTTTTCAACCAAGGAACAGGACTCTTTTCAACCATTCTGCCCTCTGTCAGATTCTCACTATCCTCTTTCTGGACCACTGTCCTAAATATGAGAACATCTGCCAGTTCAGCAACAGTTGAATCCATATATAGTTGGAATATAAGCCCTATTCTCCCATGGAAGCGAATAAAGTTTGGAGGCTCATGCTAAATGGGTTTTGCTTATTCTTTTTTTTTTTTTTATGTCCCCTGCAAAAATAAAATATTGGGAAAAACACATGAATTGAATTATAAGACCAAGAAAAAAATGTTTGACATTCAGAAGATGGTGAAAAAGCAAGGAACCCACCACACGAAATCTGGACACCAATTACTAGGAATAAGAAGTCACAAGGAATTAATTTACCAAGCTCAGACAAGAACCAGCGAACAGCAATTCACAACAAAATTAACAGTTTGCTGCCATGTAATGTCATATTTGACCCAGCAAATTGATATGCCAATGAAAGGCTGAGGTGACATAGAAAAGAATGTGTGATGGACGCTAATAAATGATAAAAGGACAAGCTGTACACATCTCTATTGGAAGAGCCCCAGTTTGTGCATGCAAGTATCATCTATGAGATGCTCCCAATCTCTGCATATCTCCCAGTTAGGATGTACCAGGGCATGAAAATATAAGAAATGTGCATACAAGTATAAGTCCACTAGAGGGACCTGAGTTTTATGACACTTTACTATAACAAGCATAAAAAGCCCTTTTGATGTTATTAACGTAATTTAAAACAGGGGTCTCCAACCTTGGCAACTTTAAGACTTGTGGACTTCAACTCCCTGGGTTGCCAAGGTTGGAGACCACTGTTTTAAATTACGTTAATCTATGGTTTCTCTCATGGTCAAAATACTCTGAGATTCTGCAAATAAGACCTTTGGGGAAACAAGCTATCCGCCAAGGCTATAGCCTTGCTTAAGACACTGTAAGCCGCCCTGAGTCTCTGGAGAAGGGTGGCATATAAATCAATTTTTTTTTAAAAAAAAAAGGCGAATAATGGTGGAAGTGGAAGCCAGACAGAAGTGTGTTAAGGGGAAATATTATAATCTTAATAAGCTTAAGTTCTGATTCACAAATGGGTTCATTTTACTGTTTTCCCCCACTTTTACTGTCTCTTTTGGAAGGAAAAAAATACAGGATGCAGAATCTTCTCTCTCAGACCAGGTGAAGAAAGGAGCGGGGGGGAAGCTATTCTCAACTAGAAGTCAGAGCTAAACCGGAGCTGGGAAAGGTGTTCTCCATCAGATGCCCAAAATTTAGCCCTGCCTATCTGACACGTTCCTGACAGTTCTGTCTTCGATGGCTCAGGATGAAAATTTTTATGAGTGTCAGGGGAACTATAGAGCGCTCTGAAAATGCTTTTTCTTTGTAAAGAAGCACTGGGAAAGAACATGGCAAATAAGAGCAGAAATTTCAAGAAGACACCACCACCAGGATGGCCGCTAGTAAAACTTGCCTTGAACATCGGGGTCATCCATGTGCTGCTGCAAACTTTGCAGAACTTTTTTAATTTCACTGCTGGCAACGCAGTTATTATAAAGTGCCTGTGATACAGAGTTGCTCTCATGTATCTCTGTCTTGCCCTGAAGAAGCTCTATATCTTGGCTTATATCAGGAAGAGGAGGTCGCCAGTATAAGAAAGTATTAAACACATCTTGTCCGGACTGGATTCTTGAGCTAATTTCCTGATATTCGCTGGTTTGACAGTTTTTAATATCGTTAGTTAAAAAAGTCTCATCTCCCTGAGGTAATATAGTCTGATCTAGTCCAAAATTGATGTGTATGGCTGAACATTGATTCTGTGCATCCAGGTGTGACATTTCAGAACAAACCACAGGGGTAAAGGAAGATTCCACTGCCAGAGATTCCAATTTATTTTCCACTGAGTTCTCTGATCTGAGAAGAGAAATACTGTTAAAACAACAGTGAAAAAAATAAAGCCAACATAAACTGAGCTCACTTAAATGTAGTGGTTTAAATACAGTTTAAATTATGATTGTTGTTGTTAGTTGCAAAGTTGTGTCCGACCCATCGCGACTCCGTGGACAACTTTCCTCCAGGCCTTCCTGTCCTCTACCATCCCCTGGAGACCATTTAAGCTCATCAATTATGATAGTCATGGCTTTTCTCTCAAAATTAATCCTGCTTCTGAAAACACTGTTGCTTCATAAGATTAAACAAGTTTAAATTTAACTTGTTTAAGTAATTTCAGTTATTTGTTAATTACTTGGGCTTCCAAATCATATTTGCTGTGAGGTCAAGAAATTGACACTGAATTCTAAATTGTCTGATCAAGGAGATCCCAAGATCAAATAAAAGCTTTATCACGCTACTGGGGCTTTTTCACCACATTCAGAAGAGAAGGAAAGTAATAAAACAGAAGTCAAATGGCCTCTGAAATTCTGGATTAAAGTTTGAAATTTTTTTTTCAAATTTTGCCACAAGATAATTTGTTTGAAACTGTCTTGCTGTAAAAATGTGTCTTAAACTTATGATCACTACTTTATCTCCAATCTGATATATGCAATTTATTTCCACCATGTTTTCTTTGTACGTCATAAAGAGAGGAAACAATTGGAGAAATAAAAAAATTTTTTTTATATCCAAGCAAATATGAGACAGAATAAAGTAAATTTCCAATTTCTTTTAGGGGACATTCAGTCATTTACCTTTCTAATATTACACTTACTGGGTTTTTGTTTTAAAGAAGAACTTCTGCAGTTGTCTCGTATTTTAAAATCTGGTTTTCAAAGTTATGATTAAATACTCCTTTCAATTCAATGGTAAACAACTTCTGAAAAACCAGCACGTAAGATACTTGCTTATATTGAATCAACTTGCTAAGGCAAGGTAAAAGCCTATCCACCATTACAAGCGTCAATACTTCATTTTATAATGTTATAATGTTATATGGATAATATGATCCATAATAATATGGATTTTGAAATGTATAGTTACCTCACTAGTTATAGTAATCATTGCACACTTTGAAGACTCTTATAATTATAAAGCTGGTGGAAATAATATTTTATTACATAAAATACTTTTTGAAATGAATATTGAATTTTGAGCTATCAAAAATAGAATCCTTCGTCTGAGAAATACAATAACCCCATTAATGATTTCTCAATTGGATCAAAAAGAGAGTTCTAGTTTCAAGCTACCCAAGTTATCCTTAATGCCAAATCACTATACCTTGATAGCTTTACATTTGCACTGTGGTCTGGGCATGGACTACAAGGCCGGATGCTGAGCGTCCCATCCTCTCGAATGTAAAGACCAGCACTGGAAGGGTTTGCAAAAGTAGAAATGAAAGGACCAAGTGATTGGAAAGCAGCTTGACGAACCTAGAATATTGGAAACATAAGAGAATATAATGGCATTGATACTGTTTGCTATTAAAGTTAAATGTTCATGAATTACATGTAATTCAAAAGTGAAATCATCAATTCAGATTGGCATCTTTAATGTCACTTATTTGGTCTTGTTACAAAATTCATAAACTCTAGGGAACAGATGCTCAGTTTCTGCAGAAGAAGAAATATTATAATTTTGCTGTATTAGTATATAGAAAAAAAAATAGAACCAGCAGCAACAAAGGCTCAACTATAGCTGTGGATGTATTGCTGGAAAACCTTATGGACCAGTTTGGGGACAGATCCTCCAGAAGAAAATCCATTTTGTGGTTGCTAAGAGCTGAAATCAACTTGATGGTACATATTCAATCAATATTAGTAAGAACAATATAATTGCTTCAAATGTGCATATTTTATTTTTAAGGCTACAGGCCATGACCAAAAAAAAATGGACAATTGCAAAAAAACCTAGCCTTTATTAATAGGCAGCTTTGATTGGAATTTTGTCTAACATGAATCATCATAATATCTGTATCTGCATGACACTTCGACAGCACTGAGTTCTACTGTATTTTTGCAAATTTTTTAAAGATTAGAGGAAAAATTGAGTGATAAATTATTATAATGAAAGAGATCAGAATATTTCCACAAATCTGCAATATTGCTTGCAATGAACAATTGATTTAAGCTCAACTGTTCAAAATTTAAAGAGGCAAGCATGTATACAAAATTGAACAGAAAGTATCTATTTACCCAAACAGTAGTTCCTTTGAGTTTTAATACATGGAAACTACTCAAGTTTATTTTAGAGATATAGGAGATGCTGATAGGAGCTAACAACGTTGCTGTTAAATCAAAGCATGATCATACATGGCATTTTTCAAAATATTTTTTTATTGCTTTTATGGAATCACTGCAATTTAAGGTAAACAATTCAACTCTATTTACCCATCTGCAAGGATCACTAATGAGACCGATGAAGAGGGGAGACAGTTTGGTCCTCCGAACCTCAGGAGAAACAGTACAGGAAACAGCCATAAAGCATTCAGCACAAGCTTTCCGCATACCCCAAATGTTATCAGAGCAGAGCTCAAAAAACTTTGGAATCTGCCAAAATAAAGACACAGCAGAACAATTTATTTGTTTGTATACATTACCTTGTTTACTTGGAAAATGTTTACTTACAAACACTGATCAGATTAGCAGGCAAAACATTCATTTAGTAGTTTGTAGCAAAGAGTAAATTATTTTTTGAATGGTTTAATCACAAATGAATGAACACATGCAAGATCAACTTAGTCTTATACTTAGCTGACACTATATTAGTGCAATTCATACTTCTAAGTATATAATAGTGTGTATAGTCAAGGCTATGATTTTCCCAGTTTCAATGTATGGCTGTGAAAGTCGGAGCATAAGAAAGGCTGAGCGCCAAAGAATTGAGGCTTTTGAACTATGGTGCTGGAGAAGGCTCCTGCGAGTCCCTTGGACTGCAAGGTGATCCAATTGGTCAGTCCTAGAGGAGATCAACCCTGACTGCTCTTTAGAAGGCCAGATCCTGAAGATGAAACTCAAATATTCTGGCCACCTAATGAGAAGGAAGGACTCACTGGAGAAGAGCCTAATGCTGGGAAAGATTGAGTGCAAAAGAAGAAGGGGACGACAGAGGTGGCTGGATGGAGTCACTGAAGCAGTAGGCGTGAGCTTAAATGGACTCCAGAAGATGGTAGAGGACAGGAAGGCCTGGAGGAACATTGACAATGGGGTTGCAACGGGTCGGACATGACTCCACAACTAACAACAACAATAAAGTATATAATGGTATAACGGAAAGCTCAGTTCTTTGAAAATGTCAATCTAATTTGAGTCTCTGATGAGAAGCTGACAGGAGAACTTTAAAAATATTCATGTCCTTTTAGCAAAGCTGAGGAAAGGAATGTTAACATTGAAGGATAAACCTTGTAAAATGAAGTTATCATATCTAACTAAAGAACAAGCATACTGCAGTTTTAGCCTGAAGAGAGAAAAAAACAGGAAGGGTGTCTGTGTGCAATTTATAAGCACCAAGTTGGAAGGAAAAAAATAGTTTCCTTAGTGGACCAGAATGGCCAACATACAGCCTATCAGTTTCTTGCAAGCTGCACCAATTTAAGAAAAGCTGAATTAAAGGAGACGTTTTCTTTTCTGAATTTAGGAATGAGATTTGGGGGTCAACAAAATAAAACTTCTTTTTTTCTGGCAATAATTTTGTTTGCCAACCCAAAAAGGTTCAGCCATGGCTGAAACTCAAGAACAACATTTTAAAATGAAGACATATTGTGGGAAGCAATGAATATTACTTAATAGTGGAGAAAATAAATATTTGTTCAGCTAGATCGAACAAGTTGTAGTAACTTTACATTCTACAGTAGTGTCATGTATTAAGATCTGGCAATTACTGGAAAGAGGAGTCTCCAGTAAAGTTTTCCCATTAATCCAAGCATTTCAGAGGAGTTGTGTTGGATGCTTATCCTACGGTTGGGTAGATAATATATAGAAAACTATGTTCTGTGACTTTAACTGCTACAAGATAACTAATTGGCTGTGCTGAGCAGACATAAAAGAAGGCAAGAAATTCATTCACTTCTGCTCCTGCTATTAGAAGGTTGAACTGCTGAAAGGAACTGTGTCTGTGTTACTGAAGAGAACTGGAATTGTAAGCAAACTATGTTTTTGTGTTGAACCGTGATTATTTGAAGAAGTGTTATCTTTGTTTAGAGAAGCCAAGTTTGTTTGTTTTTTACTACAAGTAAAGACTGTTTATTTTTCTTTAAACGTTCAGAGTCTGTGAGTATCTGTGTGTTTTGCTAAGCAACGTATCTATTCGCTGTCTGGTCCGTTGCACTACTTTGCAGAGGGTAGTTTTACCCTCAACAAGTTGTCTGCTTTGTATATACACACAGAAGACATTAATTTGGTATCCTTTATATGACATAGGCTGCGAACAGCATGAAATTCCAAGGTGTGTAACTTGACACTCAGTTTTTAACATACCAAATTATTTTCTGTGGCTTCTTGCCCAACTGCGCTGCATATATCACCAAAGCTGGCTGCACAGACCTAAAGCAAAAGAAACAAGCACAATGCTGCTTTGTTGCTACCATAATGTTAATCTATTTTGTGTTTTGTTATACATACACACTAACTTAATTATGAATCTTCATAAACAAAAGATGAATGCTACACCAAAAACATGCACAGGGCTGGGATGGGGGAGTGGGAGTGGGAAAATGTGTGTCATGATTAAAATGCTATGTTTCATGTTACTTGCTTCACAGGTCAAAATGGGAACACAGAATGGTGGGATTTATATCATAAAGTAAACATGTAGGAGTCATTAGTTGGATATAATCAGTTCTGTACTTTTATCAGACAGTTTCTTGTATGCATCATGTATGCATATAATCTCAGTTAGCCCCACTAGAATATTTATAACAATAAGCCCTTCAATGGCCTTCAAATGTGCATCAATTGATTTGTATTGGCTATGGGTTGGTTTTAGATGGTGCCAGTTGTCAATTATACTTCATAATAGCCACTTTAATAAGAGTGGCAGTTCAAATGTAAAACAAGATATACTTGTTTTGGCACTTATATAAAAGAAATTTAAAATAGGGGGGGTGTTCAATAGTACTTACAGGTTAAGTTAATTTAATTCCAAAATTTTATAAGGTATGTTCCAATGCAGATGACTAAATTAGTATAAAATCAACAAATGTTAACCTTCCGAACTTGAAAGAGTTTTCCATCGCTGCAAAGCTCACAGAATCGAGGAAGCAGCAAGCGCTCAAGGGTAGATTTGTTCACCATAGATGCCATTTTGCAGATTATCTATTGAGAGAGAAAAAAATCCTTTTTTTCCCCTTTATCATTTTCTTTAGATTTTTACCATTTCTATGAAAAGTGCATTAAAAGTTGTAACTCGCTTGGGAAGTTTTACAGTTCAAGAATAAAATTCACCAGGTACATAGGTATTAAGGGATGCCATCATGGAATCAGATACAACACATAAATACAATTCCTTTAAAGCAACAGTGACTACATCTAGTTGATCTCATACTAGAAGTGCTATAAATAGAGTAAACAATCAAAGAATTCCACCAACAACAGATGGCATCCAGCAAAAATAAAGCTGCTCTTGTGTACTGATGTTTTTACAATAACCATGACTCTGTATATTTGTGGTTTTCCTCTTTGGAAGGAAGGAGAAAGTCTGGTTTGCGTCACTGACGGAAGCCAGAAAGCTAGAAGAGATTGCCATTAGCACAAATCAACACATCCCTAATCATGTTATACTTTTATATGGCTTTTGATTGTAAGCAGTTTGGGGAACAATGTTTGCTGAAAAATAAAGTATAAATGGGAGAAAATAAAGTATAAATCATACAATGTTTAACTGGGGGGGAGGCGGGGGGGAATCCTTTCTGTACTGTTGTGTATCCTTGAAGTCACCATGAGTAGAAGTCGACTGGAGACTGCTTTTGAAAATACAGGAAACAATAATAGCAGTTGTAAACATTCCTTCTGCTTACCCACAAAATCCTCCTTTCCCTGAAGTTTACGTACATGTTTGCCTTTCTAAAATTTCCTATGATATAGAACAGGGATGAGCAATTAATTTTCCCAAGGCACCAAATGAGGAACTGGGACTGTTGTGAAGGGCTGCTCCACCCCCTACCAATGCTATCCCACTCTCCGCTGCTGCCCTGCCCCTGATGCTGCTCCCCTGCCCCTGCCAACACCACCCTTGCCAATGCTCCATCCCCACTGATGCCACGGGCCGGAATGAGACCATCTACAACAGGGGTCCCAACCTGTAGGCCGAGCCTCACTACCAAGCCGTGGCCTGTTGGCCCCCGAGCCGGGGAAGTGTCGTAGCGAGTGACGTGCGGGCATGAGTGTTGCGCAGGCACTTACAGTCCTGTTCACATGGGTGCTTGCACACATAAAGGCGCCTGTTCCTTCCCCCTTGGGCAACCAACCCATAAAGGTTGGGGGACTCTGATCTGCTGGCTGTAAAATGACCAAGTCTGATACAGAAAAATTAGCTTTTCATCTCAAGCTTTAGGAACAGATACCATTCCAAAATCCAATTTTTAAAGATGTACAAAAGGTATTCATTTGGTTCAATGAAATTTTGAATGAGATTCTCTGCTGAGAGGGTAAGACACCAAAATAAATTGAACGCTTTCCTGTACAAATGACATAAAAAAAGGTCAATATTTGGAAAACTGCTGAATATGCCAATAACAAAGGTGAAATTTAATAACATTGTTTTACATAATTATATAAAGGACATTAAAATGCCTTTACTATCAATTCAGAAAAAAACAATCACAATAAATGAGATACCTACATTGACTGCCTCCACCTTGTATTCATCATCACTTTCCGGAGCAGAAAGCTCCAACAGAATTGGACACACCTTATTTTCAATATCATGTTGAGCAATAAGTTGTTGATCCAGTAATATTAGCAGTGAATCCTGGCTTGCTTTTCTAACCTAACAATGTGCAAAAGAGAAATAATAAAAATATATTAGGGAATAATATTTTGTGACCAACATACATGAAATTGATTTCATTTCTTGAGGAACAGTTAGGTTCCATTGTTATAATCTCATTATCACAAGATTATACATCCTGGCATTGCTTTTAAGAGAGAAAAAATATGGTTTTATGGGCACACGTTTTATCCATATCCTAGATTTCTGAGACAAGGGCAGCACATACTAATTTGGTTTTATTAAGATGGTAATTCTCAGAACACAATTGTAGTACTTATAGCTTTACCACCTCTAGACCTCGTCCACCCAATTCTTTAAATGTAGACCTTCTGCCAATGTTTTTTAACGGTCCCCCACATAGCAGAGGTGAAAGGGTACAGAGATCACAAGCAATGATTTTCTATTGCAGTCCCCTCACACCCCATTGGATCCCATTGGGGATGTGTCCCAAAATTAGACTGGCCTTCCATCAACTGTTAAAAATGGAACTGTTCTGGATGGCCTTTTGGAAATAAATGACTAAGTTAGTGCTTCATGTTATTTAAGTATGAATTGGCTTTATGTTTTTAATCTTATGTTATAAACTGTTGGTTCCTTCCAATAAAATATAATTAGGATTAAACACAGTTCATATAAATTTAGGTATTATAAGGTATGGTTAATCTAGAATAGAAAGAAAAGACTCTTAATGTCTTTTCAAAGCTATGTCACAGGAGGATAAGTGAACATATAAGCACAAATCACATTGCATATCAAGCAAAATCAAAGTACCTAACTGAATATTACAAGAAAAAATTAGCGCTACTAAGTGAACAATACATTCCATTCAGAAAACAATACCTGATTATTTGGATCTGTGAGGTATCTCACCACTATAGGCATAAGGTATTCAGAAAATGCTGCAGGAAAGTTTGGCCTACTCTCCTGTAGAAAAATGGCAATGGGTGGTATCTGTTCCATTAATTCTGTCCGTACAGTAGGTTCTAGAAATTAAAATTTTAAAAAATTTAAAATATACTTTTAAGATTAAGCCAACATTCTGTAACCCATTAGCAGCTGAGAAGATGGATCTAGGAAGCCAATAAGTCGTAGCCTTCATTCACTGTTTCTCCCTGGCTCTCACATTGAGCATAATGCCTCCAATAAAAAAAAGACAGCATGTAGCCATCGAACTATTAAAAATAGTGTTCCATGAATTTTTCTAGTCATCTTTTAATACTATTTAATAAATTGATGGACATCACAATATCTGCTAGCTGCAATTTTTACAGTTTAATTAGTAATAGTGTAAAAAGTAGAAAAAAGTAAAAAGTTTTCTATTGTTCAAAATTTTCATCAGTTTCAGTAACTGATTCCAATGCTAATACTCTGAAGAAAGGGGGGCGGGATTGTCTCTATCAATATTTTTCACATCGTGCATGATTATTTCTCTAAAGTATTCCCTCCTTTACAAAACTACTTTTTAAACTAAACAGAGGAGCTATTCCTGTCCATTTGGTTAGTTTTTTTCCTTATGCTCTCTCCAGAAATATAGTATCTTATCTGGAGGGCAATAAACTGAAAACAGTTTAAATGCAACTTATATTGCATTATAAACTGATAAAAATAGAAACAAAATCATGTAATAAATATATATAAGAAATCACTTCCTCCTTCACAAGTATAAACAATTTTAGTAATTTATCAGTTTCTCATAATCTTTACAAGAACGACAAAATCTCTTGAAATTTCAAGCAAAAACGTTAAAAATCTGAAAATCTCAGGAGTTTAAAATTTTATTTTGGCATAATACCTTTGCAGCCTACAAACTGGAAATCAGATATGCAAATTATTGGGAATTTATAAGATCTTTTTGAGATGCTGATAATTACTGTCACCACAAATCAGGTAAAACAATTAATTCGTAATTTTTTTCATTTGATTCTCAAAATCTGTAGAACCCTGTCAGTGTTTATAGTCATAAACTAGATTTCATATGCACAAGTTTATACTCAAATACACTAATAGAAAGAACACATTTTTAATTAATGAGAGTATAAAGACCGGAAGAGTCACCTGTATCTTCAGATAGCCGGACCACTATTGACATAACTGTCAAGAAATCATCTTCATTATGATTGAAATCTCGAAAGACATCAAGTAGACCCCTGGCAATTATTTGCCTGCATGAGCAACAAATATACACATGTAGTTATTGTTTGAAATATTAATTCATAATTACAGTTTTGCGAACAAACTAACAACAATATAGTCCAGTGGTGGCTAACCTTTTCTGGACCGAGTGACCAAAGCGCACACATGCGCCCAATCCATCAAAATGCAATGCACAAGCCCCGCCCCCCCACCGTGCATGCACGGCAGAGACCTGATGACCAGCTGGCCAGCGGGAGGTGCAAGCGCATGCGCAGAGGAACTGAACTGCATGCCATAGGTTCGCCATCACGGGTATAGTCTAATTCAACTGCAGATGTTTTATTTATGTTCAACACAGGGTGACTCTCCTGTAGGACTCATCCACTTTTCCAAATTACTCAGAGAATTGCTGGCAGAGGATAACATACAAAGTAATACCGACTGGGAATCAAAGTCTCCTTTTAAAAAATCCTAAAGGAATTCTAAACTGAGAGATAGGCCAAGACAGCATCTAAGAGTTAAGTAACTGATGAATTTCAGCTTTTTGAGTATTTTTCTCTCTGCTTTCAACATGCAAAAGAAGGTAAAATTCCTTCATTTCAGCACACAATGATATGTCTATATAAATTACTGAATACGCACCTATAAGTCCTAGACAAATATGATTAATAATTAAAGCAATTAAATGGCTATGTTACAAGCAGAATTTTGCAACTCTGTTATTATCGTAGTTATTAATTGTTATAGTAATATTGTTGTAAAGTCAAAGCAATTTTTCCCATTTTGTTCAGGTACTGCTGTTTATTATCAGAGAAGAGAGAATATACCATGCTGTTCATTCGTTATACAGGTAGTCCTCATTTACCAACTTCCTTATTCAGCAAGCATTTGAAGTTACAAAAATGTTTTAAAAAAACCCAGTGACAAATCTTGCATTTGTGACTATTAGTGTCCCACAGGGACAGATGCCATTTGTGCACTTTGCAATTGGCTTGGTAAAAGTTGCGTTAATAGAGAAGGCAGAAGTAAAACCATGTCTCTATCATGATGTTTTGCTTAACAATTGCAGTTTCAGTCATTTTTTCTTTAACAACTGAAGAGAAAGTGAGATCGTAAGCCTGTTGTGGTCACGTAATTTTCCACTTAGCAACAGAATTGCAAGTGCCAATTTTGGTCATTAAACAAGGAATACCTGTATACAATTCTCTTTAGATATTTTTATCTCGCCACAGAGACAAAAAATATCTAAACCCATAGATTTTGCAATATCAAAACTTTCTCTAATACTTTATTTGAAACAATGCATACATGATTTGATCTAAAACTTAGTTGGTCCATGAAAGAGCAAAACGCCCTGTATCCCTCAAGTATTTGGGCCAACTTTCATCAGCTCCAGAAAGCATAGCCAAAAGGATCTAAACCAAAAGTTATTCAAAATATCCAAACAGCATTAATTGCCTATCCCAGTTTCATGATTTTAAAAAAAAAAATGCAACAAAATACTAATAATTATTTTTATATTACCTGTTAAATATATTATCGCTAAAAGCATATTTTTCTAAACGTCCAAGTGGAGTTAAGTTATCCTGCCCTGGAATGTCCAGGAAAGCAGTTATCCTCATGCTCTCACAATCTGGTCCATAGTCTTCAAACCCAACTTTAAAAAGAAAGAAAAATGACATGTCAGCATGAAAGGAAAGTGGGGGGGAATCCAACACCAATCTAATTTGCAAATGCACCTGTGGCTGCATTTCCTTTATCAGACAGCAAATTTTGCTTCTGTAAGTGTGTGCTCACTTCCATGCCTCAATAGAAAGGGTTAAAAAGAAGTTAAATTTGTCAGGTGATATGCAAGGGCAGCAGTTAGTTGCAAAAGGGTGGCTTTGAGTAACTTGTTTAAGTGTATTTCCTTTGTTTCAAAAACATAGGCTTTGAAAAATAAAGACTGTTTACAATGGCTGTCTCAAAATTAATTGACTACCCAACTATCACCCTAAAGCTGAACTAAAACAATCATTGGGACCAAAACATATATACTTTGTCGTAAGTGATCACAAAAATGATAAACCAGATAATTCAGATACAACTATATGCAAGGAAACTTAATACAGTATAATATTGAAAGTGGCACAGTACAACCAGAACAATCTAAGAAATTTCAGATTGTGATTGATTGAAGCATAGTCCTTTGGTGGAAGACACAAAGTGGTAAGATTTGTTATTAGTAAAGTTGCATTAAAAAGTAACATTAAAGAAAGTCTTCCAAGACAAATTAGTACCTAAGAATATGCACACATTATTTGTAACATTGTTGAACAGATACCTTAGACTCCACTTTTGCTTTAAAAAGAGGGCGGAGAAAACTATATGAATTACACAACCTCTCATGGATAGTCCTCACTTAACAACCTCAATTGGCATTGGAATTTCCATCCCCAAGCAAAATGGTTGGTAGGTGAAACATCATATAACCGCATCACTTAGCAATAGCAGTTCTGGTAATCGTGATTGTAGTCATTAAGTGAGGACTGTGCCATTAAGCAAGGAACGTACACTTCTTCTGCCCTTCCACCCTTGTCTCATCCTTGTCACTTTATCTCTCCCATCTAAAGTGTCTCTGTGGGTACCCATGCCACCCTCCCTCCGCTGACTTTTACCATCTTCTTCCTTCTTTGTCAGTGGCACAAAGGTCAGTGAGGGGCAGCAAAGATAGGCAATGCCAGTAAAGAGCAGGATGGCCAAAAAGGCAGAGGGGGGGGGGGCATACGCAGGTGGGAGAGTTGAAGGACATGCTGTAGTCATAAATGCAGGCTGGCTACCAGGTGCCCAAATTTTGATCTTGTGACCATAAGTGTGCTAACTTGTAAGTACCATTCATTCAGTGCTGTTGTAATTTTTTGAATGGTCCTTAAGCAAGTATTACCTGTATAATCCCCAATACTTCATTTTCTGTTTCCCTTTCCAAAGTACTTAAGGTTTATCAATACTGCTTCTAGGTGAAAGAGAGAGGTTCTTTGCAGATTGAGAATAAGCACTGTCAGTCAAGCAGTTTTTTGAAATGTGCAAACACAATATGGCCATTTTCTGTTGGCACACCACAATTGTTAACTTTGTAGTCAGTTGATTTATGCAAAACCTGCCATTGTGGGAATTGAACATTCTACAGAATTTTGGAATATTGCATGTCTCTTCCAAACATACAGCTGGTCAGATGGTTCTTCCAAATCAGAAGGTTATAATAATATAGTGATTATTCAACACCTTGTCACTTAATTCAAAATCTTAAAACTCCTGAACAAAAAGATAAATTGGTAATTTTTTAAAAACCTGACAAACTAAACTGTGCATAACGTTACATAAATGTTACATTACATGAACATTAGTAATACAATATAAGATGTACATGTATCAAAAAAAGCTTTGGAAATTTAACTGAATGAAACAACTCCAAATTTGAGTAGGTTACTTGAAAGTCTACTTCCTTCTCCTTAACTGGGCAAAGAGAAACCAATTTAGATTATTGACCATCCACACATATCAACAATCCACCACTACAGGCCAATTGTAAATTTATCTTTTCAGAGTTCATAAGAGGCTGGAGAGTATGCAGGAGTGTGTGAGAGAGGCACCGTGCGGATCCAAGAAGGTGTGCAAGAGGCACAGTACAGGTTGGGATGATGCAAGATAGATACCATTACATCACGTCTGGCCAGATCTGCTTCTCTATCTGAGCAGTGACAGTCACGAGGGATACCTGCCTATTTTGAACAATATTGTACAGGCACCTAGGTGACAGGGCTGCATTCAACTGGAACAGCCAGTGCATCAGCAGGAATCCTGGTTTGTTTTTCTATGGCTGTCATGAAGGCTACCGTGTTGAGAATGATTTTCCTTGGGATTGTGGGTATAGTTCAGAGCTCTAGTGACCACAGTGAGAACATGCTGGGTGGGGAAGGCATCTGATACATTTATGAGTGGTGAGAGGGAAGGCCTGCTATTTGGGACTGAATGCTGGGCAGAAGCATCCAAAAGATCTGATTTGATAATCCACTTTGTTTGTTGTGTTACCAGGTAATAACATGAAATGTTTTGACTGGAGAGTGGAATGAGAGAGGTCAAGAGGGAGCTGATAAGTGTGTGGAAAAAGGAGCAAGTTATTGTGACAGATAATGGATACAAAGGCTATGGTGGGACATAAGGAGTGGACCACTCTTGGGGAAAATGGATTCAGCATGCTATACTTATTTCACATTCCAGCCTCCTATACTTATTCCCAAGGGCTGATCATCTGATCTTCAGTGGCCAGAATCCCTGGCTGCTGCTATTGAATTCCAGCTCATTCCGTAATAAGGCTTCCCTCGTCCATGATTGAATAGTGGAGGAGAGAGCCAAGCTGGTGTATATTACAAAAACTTGGTTGGGTGCAGATGGGGTAATCCCTTCTTTAAAAAGTGACCAATTGATTACAAGCATGGCACCAGCCGTGACCTCAGGCAAGGGAGATGGAGTGGCCATTATCATTCGAGAGTCCTTGGTGATGCTTACAGATACTGCCAGGCAGATTAACTGGATATGAGACCGTGCTTGTATAGTTAGGCTCCTGGGAATAGATGTTATCGCATGTACTACCCTGCAATAGAGTGGCTTGCCCTACTGGAGTTCTTTCATACTGTCAAGTTGGGGTGGGGGGGTGGAGTTGCCTAGACCTATGGCACTGAGGGACTTTAAATTACTTGCCCTGGGCTTGAGGTCAAAGGCATTTCAGGAGCTCCTGATTAACCATGGAAACTATGTACTTAACTCAGATTATTGAGAACCATCCAACTTCCAAAAATGTAAGTGCAGAGAAACAGTTAAAGGAAAGACAGTAACTGGAGTCTGAGTAGCATATAAATCTAATAATTACCATCATCATCCAGATCCTCCAATAGCTGTGATAATCTCACATTTCCATAAAAATAATTTTATCAGTTGATAAGAGATTGGAACTATACTATTTGGTACAGAATTTAAAAAGCTCTGGTCACCGATTAATTTAAAATCACCTTTTTCCATTAGGTACAAAAATATAAGTCAGTGGTATATAACCTGTAAAATTCAAAGGAACAGAAACAAAATACAGGTAGTCCTCAACTTACAACAGTTCCTTTTGTGACTGTTGGAAGTTACAAGAGCACTGAAAAAAGTGACTTATGATTGTTTTTCATACATATGACTGTTACAGCATCTCCATGATTATGTGATCAAAATTCAAATGCTTGCAACTAAGTCATATTTATGACAGTTACAGTATCCTGGGGTTGTGTGATTACTTTTTGCAACCTTCTAACAAGCGAAGTCAATGGGGAAGCCAGATTTACTTAACAACTGGGTTACTAATTTAACAATTGCAGTGATTAATTTAACAACTGTAGCAAAAAAGGACTTCAAATGGAGCAAACTCACTTAACAAATGTCTCACTTAGCAACAGAAATTTGGGCTCACTTGTGGTTGTAAGTCAGGGACTACCTGTATCCAGAATTATGGACTTCATCAACTCTGCCTTATCACCTACTTCCAGTTCTATGGACAGATATACCAACAAATCAGACAAACTCCCATGGGATCCCCTCTCTCAAGACTCACAGCAGAGACTATAATGCAGCATCTCAAAACTATAGCACTTCCACACATACAACCTTTGTATGCAAAGGACACCCTTGTCATAATAAAAAAAGGAACTAGAAAAGACTCATGAAGCATTCAACATCGTTAAAGGAATAACATTCACATGGGAAGAAAACAACATCACTGGATGTCCTCATCATTAAAGGAAACAACAGCAAATTAGAAACACAATTTATCTACAAAGAACAACCCACACTAACCAATTGGTCCATCACTAAAGTAACAATCCAACCTCCCATGAGAACAGTTGTGTAAGAATATTATTCAGAAGAGCACAAACACACTGCAGGAACACCAGAAAAAGGAAACAGCTTATATAACATCTTCCAACAACATGAATAGCCATGCAGTTTTATCAAAAAGTGCCTGACCACTCAACCCACTATAGTACAACCAACACAATGAAAAGGGTAACATTACCATACATCAAAAATAACCAACAGACTATTACAGAAACATGGCATCACCATAGCATACACATCAAGTCATGTTCTCATCATATGCTAAATCATAAGTAAACCAAAAAGCCCAGTAATCCAAAAATAAAAAACTGCAACAGCCACTATATAGGGAAATAGGCAGAAAACTACCACAGCACATGCATGAACACCAGCTAGCAGTCAGAAGACATAATGAAAACTCCTTAATTTCACAATACATGGACACACTCAATCATATTTTCAGCCAGAAAACTGTGAGCCTTCTAGACTATGCCAAATCCAAAAAAGCTAAATATTTCCCAGAAGTTTGGCATTCAGACAAATCAGTCACCAATAGATACACAGAAATAAACCATATTATACACCATTCAAGAGACAACAAAAAGTTAAGAGGGAGAAACATCAGAACATATCCTCTCCAGTAGTCAAATAAGCAATAAACAAGGTGCTACCAAGAGAAAACTACATCCCCTCCAGCACTGGGAGGGCAAGCTACTATATAAGTAATCCTTGATTTATAACCGTTCACTTAATGATGCTTTGAATTAATGACAGACTCAGAAAGGATGCTTTACTTCTGACTATCATAAAGATTGCACACATGTTCATAGTCATGTGTTTATAATCTGGGTGCTTGGCAGCCTGTTCGCATTTATGATCTGTTGCCAAGCACACTGTGACTACGCAATCACTATTTCAATATGCTCTGCCAGATTCCCCACAAATTCAATGGGGAAGCCAGCAGTAAGATTTGCAAATGGTGATATTTGCGAAGATAACTCCCATTCGGGTCTGGATGTTGGGTGAAAGAGCTGCTTGTCAAAGGATTTCAGTCCCTGAATGGTGAGGTAAGGAGGACAAGGTGCCTCAGGGAGGTGGGAGAGGGAGTCCCAGCAAAAGCTACACTTGTCTCTCCACTGACAGGTAAAGTCAATAGGGACACCAACAGGAGATTGCAAATGGTAATTTATGACCACGAAAGACTACAACCACTTAGGATTCACCTAACAATACCAACTGGTACTGTCATCTTAAATACATGTAGTCATGTGACATCACACCTTATGACTGTGTCATCTAGTGATGGAATTCCCAGTCCCAATTACAACCGGTGAGCAAGGACTACCAGTATAGCCTGCTAACCTAATGCCTACTAAACTGGAAGTTTAAATGTATATTCCTATCTATAGACTCTTTCTTTCTCTATGAAACAATGAATACAGCTTTCTTAAAGTTTAAAGAGAAAGATGAATCTGCAAGTTGAGCAGTTCAACTCCAACTGACAATTATGATCTATGACAGCCTTGGGGTCACAACTAAATACAGCTATTTAGCCATGTGCAGGGTCATAAATACAGAACAAAACCCATGGATTTTAAGCTTAGGTTAGCATTTTAACCTGAATCCAGTAATTGCAGCCTATTTGTTACTATCAAAATAAACAGGATCCAAGAATTTATATTCTTCAAGTCACAACATTCTCATTAAATCAGCAAAAATGAGCAGTTTGTTTTGTTGCAAACATGCTGTTACAAATAAAACAGGAAGAGCTGTGGTCGCTAAATGGAACTGTTGTAAGGAGTACCTATATGTCATTCTGCTTTTAACACACACCCCCTCCAGGTGGGTCTCTTTCCATGGCAGAGGCCTCCATTCATCACCCAGGAAATTATTTGTGGTCTGTTTTTTAAAATTTTTCTTTCCTTCTGAAGAAGAAGAAGGCAGGCTTCCCTTTCAGTGGGAGGATTCTGGGGGGGGGGGATCTCTTCCAAAGGCAGGGAGGGGTCTGCTTTCTCCTGCCAGTGGAGGGAGAGGTTCACAGGAGCTCAAAGAGGAGGGGGCTGTTGCAGCAGGAAACAAAAGACATTCTGTGACTGTCAGCTCAAATCTCACCAGGCTCAAGGTTGACTCAGCCTTCCATTCTTCTGAGGTCAGTAAAATGAGGACCGAGATTGTAGGGGGCAATATGTTGTCTCTGTAAAACCGCTTAGAGAGGGCTGTAAAGCACTGTGAAGCGGTATGTAAATCTAAGTGCCACTGCTATTAATAGAAGGTTGAGAGAGAAATTATGAGATCAAACTATAAAAGAATAAAAATTAAATACCTGGTGATACCTTTCCCACACTGTTTAAATATGAATTTACATGCATATATGCATGCAACTGTGTCTATAGTATATGTGCACAATGCTCTATTGCTTTAAATTAGGTTCTCTTACACTGCTTGTTTACAAAATATTGGGAGCTAAGGTTTGCTTTGGGTGCCTTGTCTTCAAGCATACCCACAATGAGATAATTGCACCTTGTTTCCCTTCCTCTCATTGTCATCTTGAAAACGAGAATCACATCTGAGGGTCAGAGCTTTCCATGGAAATCTCACACCTTCAGGTATGACTCTGCCTTTGAAACGCAAACACAGTACAGAACCTGGAACTGTCCCATTCCTTAGCATCAAGCTAATACAATAAGTCTGCTCTTATTGTAAAGAATCAAAGTCAGCACTCACTAGTGACCCCCCCCCATTTCCTGTCTCATGACCTAGAGATGAAACACATCCTTTGAGAACTCTGTCTTAAAGGATGTACACATTTTCTCATATAGAAAAGAATACTTATTGTTAAGATGAAGTGTATTAGACAAATATGATCTGAAAATAAAGTCTAAGTCATGCTTACAATATAAAAACTTGACAATTAAGCTTTTAATTTAGAATGTAAAATTTAACTCTCAAGACTTTTTCTGCTATATATTCAAAATGATCTGTGATTAATATATGTGTGTGTGTGTGTGTGTGTAGCATATGTATATGTTCATGCATCTGCATGTATGGTTATGGGTATGTGTGTGTACGTACACACACCGATGTACTGTGTTTCCCTGAAAATATGACCTACCCCAAAAATAAGCTCTAGTGAAGGGGTGAGCGTGGCCAGCACAAGAGGCAGCCCTTCCCTTCTCCGGTCACCTCATGGAGGCTCGGCCCCTTAATTGCGGCCCATGGATCAGCTAAGCCAGCGAGGGCCAGGCAACTCAGCCCAGATCTCCGGAGCACTTCTCCAACTGCCAGGGCCCCTTCACCAGCACGAGCTCTATGGTGGCCCTGCAGCAGGAGGGAGTGGGAGATCACCCTCTCCTCCATTGCACCCTGAAACCCCATCTTTCATGGCCGCTGAGCCCCCTGCCTGCACCCCTCTCACTGGAGCAAGACGTGCAATTCAATACCGGTATTACCCGTGGAGGCCTCCAAGTGCAATGCTCTGCCATAGCTTAGGAGCAAACCTCCTCCTTCCTTGCGCAGGATTGCACAGGAAAATCCCCTCCCCCCATTTTCCTACCGATCGTTCTTTATTTGGGATCACAGGACACTCTCCCCCCCCACACACACACACACAACTACAGTAAAAAAAATAGTTGAAACCTTCCAACTTAGCGAGATTTTTTTTTTCCTGAGAAGTTGAAAGGTGTGAACTATGGTATTCTTTTACCATAATCCCACAGATTTCTTGCCCTGCACGCACAGCAGAGAACAGAGCTGGAAAGCAGGTTAGTGAAGGGATGTGGCTGCCTTGGAGGGTGTGTGTGTGTGTGTGACGGACCTCTGTTTGTGTGTGTGTGTGTGTGAGAGAGAGAGAGAGAGACAGACAGACAGACAGACAGATCTGATCCAACCTTGGAGGGCTGGCAGCGATGTGCTCTCTCTACTGAATGTTGACCATGTGATACCCTGGCAATGTTGTTATGAGCATCTGGGTGAAAAAACGGGCATACGTCACTTTTGTTTCAGTGGGATAGTTGGAAAGAAGAGGTTGCAAATATCCCAACCAAGAGCATGGAATCCAAAACCTCCTGCAACCAGGGACTTTTTTTGCAAAGAAAAGGCAGCTCTTCTTTGCTGCGCCGGGCAACATCAGTTAGGACAAAATAAACACTGTTAAAAAATTGTGGATGGCTTGTACGAATGTTAGTTCAGGCAGCACTACATGCATGGGGCGGGTCACTCGGCCTCCCACTCTTTGCAGCCACAAAAGAAGCGGCCTGGTAGGCAGAGTTGTTGGAGTGGCCACTGCGAGGCTGTTTTGGGTGGATGGCAGGTGCAACCGTTAGGTAAGGGCGTGTGGGTTATGTTCCTCCCCACTTTCTCCCCCACCTTGTGCTGTCTGCACGGCAAGCAACAAGGAGGCTAAGAGACGCATGTGATGCGTCGCTTGGCCTGTTGCTGCTTTTGCGGCTGCAAAAGTGGCCACGCTTGCTGGAGGCAGCAGCCTGAACAGCACCCGCGAAGCAGCTGTTTCATGGATGGTGGGATGGTTTGCTGCGACCCTTCAGGAAGCTGATGCAAGGGGCCGCTTGCCCCCCTTGCCTCATACCGGTACATGGGAGGGGGGGAATAAGACCCTCCCAAAAAGAAGCCCTAGCTGTTTTTTTCGGGGTCAAAAGAAATTAAGACCTGGTCTTATTTTCGGAGAAACACAGGTATGTATGTGTGTGCATGTACACACACACACACACACATATATATATATATATTTCGAGAGCACGCATCCGAATTTCATTTTTTAATGTATAGCAGTGTGATCACAGAAAAAACCAATAAAGGTTATCTTACCTTAAAATTTTCTTATTTTACTTTACAATGCTATATGTTCACAAAAATCAACAAAGCTTTCAAAAGCAAACTCAGTACAAATCTACCAGGGCTGCATTTTAATGCCAGCACCTTCAATTCACAATTACTTGCTGCAAGTTATTCTTTAAATTTAATTGATGCTGCAACCACTGTTTTTACCAATCGGTCACAGAAAGCAAAACAGAAACAAGCATGTAGACATGAAGAGGTAGATTCAAGCATATCAGTATCCCAAATATAAGGATACTTTTTTTTCCTTTTAGTATTTTGCTGTTGACCCAAAACCTTTCTGTCACCTCTCCACTGTAAAACTATAAGGATTTACACTGCTTTATGTTGTTTATCTATTTCAAGAAAACTGCAAAATATACCAGTATCATACATTACTTAAATATATCAGTATCTTTATTCAGATCTCACAAAACTGCAAAAGATAGCCTTTCAGATATGTGTGCTTACAATCCCCAACAATTTCCAGGAGGCTAAGATTCATAAGAACTGCAACTCCATATATTCGCTCACTGAGGGCCAGCTTCAAAAAGCTAGGTTGCTCCATTCAGCCAATGACACTGACAGCTATGGGTTTCAAACTGGAGTAGTCAAGCTACACAAATCCAAAAGCCTCCAGCATCATTCAAAGCTACAACTTTTTAACCTATAGCTTTTTCTACAAATAGCAACTCTCCTAAGCTGGGGAGAGAGAGATAAAAAAAAACAGAGGATGAAGGACTGACATCCTAATCTTTATATACTGTAATCCTCTTCGACCTCTTCTCTGGGAGGAAATTTTCACAAGCAAAGTCAGCGCTCCTTTGAGAAAGCCACAACCACCACCACGATCTCACTGCCATTTCCCTTTCCTTTTGTGTGTTTGTGTGTGTTTTTAAGAAAAATTGAAAACAAGTTACTCACAATCATCTAAGTCATCCTGCAAATCCACAAAATACAAAGGGATCCCTACAAATGAAAACAAGAGTAAGAAAGAGAGAGAAGACACGCGGGGGTGGGTGGGTGGTTGGGGGGGAGGGAGGGTGTTGTGTAGCTGTTGTTGCCCCACAAGACCCGGGAGGGAATGGTGGGGTGAGAGGGTGGGGGAAGTCAGCGATAAAACACACAAATCAATGAAAGCCTCAAGAGCAGCACATGAAACAGGCAACCAGGCACCGCCATCTTCAAACACCACCACCCGCCAAGCAGCAGAACACCACATTTTTAAAAGCTGGCGAAAAGAGAGCAGTGGGGTGAGGGAGGGGGGGGGAGGAGAGACACCCAGGTAAGCAGGTCGCCCCCCCCCCACCCCTTCCTCCCTCACCCCCAGCGCTTACCAGCCATTTTGAAAGGCGCATGGGTGGGGAGGAGACTGGGGTCCGGAGAGGACTGCCGAAAGAAGGAGGAGCTGCCGGCTTTATCCCGGTCGCCTTTTGGGCAACGCCTTGGTCTCGCCCCCGAAGTCAAAACGTCAATGGCGGTCTCTCCGTGAAGGAGAACCTTTCTTCCCCGCCGCTCCTCCTCGCCCGGCTCCCCAGTCCTGAGGCGGAGAGGTGGGAGGGGGTGTGGGGGGGAGGGGAGTAATCTAATGGCGTTGAGGCGAGGACTGCGCGAAAAAACCGAGGCGCGCCTGGAGAGCCGGAGGGCGGCCCGCGCGCGCGCGCCTGCGTGCGTGCGTGCGTGCGCCAAGATGGGCGTTTCCTTCTTTCCCTCCCTCCCTCTCTCCCTCCCCGGATTAGGTCACTGGGAAAGGAGGCGGGGCGGCCGTCACGTGACGCGGCGACGCGGGGCTGTCCAAGATGGCGCGCGGCCTGTGGGCTCTGAGGAGAAGGAAGAGGCGCGTTCACCTGTAGCCCGGAGCCGAGGCAGGGCGCAAGGCTCTTTCTTTGGGCCCCGCCTTGGGAGGCCTCCTCCTCCTCCGCCTCCTTTTTTTTTTTTTTTTCCCCCCTTTTCGGCCGCCTTCTCCGGAGACTCTGCGGGGCGGCTTTTCCATGTGAGTCCCGCGAAGGTGGGGGGTGATGGTGTGGCCGGACGGCGGCGGCGGCGGTTCCTAAAAGCGGCGTTGGCGGCGTCCCCCTCGGTTCTCGAGCGATGGCTCTGCGGGAGCTGAAAGTTTGCCTCCTTGGGGTGAGTTGGAAGGGGCGGAGAGGACAAGCGCGGCTTCTCTTTTTCTCCTTTGTTTCAGGCTGGTTTAAAAAGTTCGTTTTGGATTTCGGCGGCGGCGCCTTCCTCGGAAGAAGGGCGGGGGGTTTTTTTTTTTTTTTGCTCTCTCCACGGAGCTCGGCTCTGGTCATCGTTACCTTAGTTTTGTGGGCTGAGGGAATCGCACCTTAGAATTGGGGTCGTCTGCATTCCCTTCCCCCCCCCCGAACCTTTTAACATTTAAACATTCAACGACTTCACCCCAATTCTCGGCAGGTTTCAAAAAAAAGGCGTATTGCCAAGTCGGTCTTTTTAGGATTATCGTCTGTGACAACCCTTTGACTTCTGAAAGCAATACGGACTTGGGCTGTGACGCTCCTTTTTTATTTTATTTTATTTTATTTTTTTATTTTTTTACTTCGAGCAGCTCCTCATAATGCATTTATTGAGAGTCCAGCCTGAGCTCCCTCTGTAAGATTTCTTTCCAAATAATGTGCTCAGGGCTGCAACTTTTAGAGGTTTTGTTCTTTCTTGGAAAGGAAAGATAATTTCGTAATTTGTTCTCCAACCAATTCCACAATAATTATTTGCAATATTTCTGGGGGGAAAAAAAGTTTAGTGTTTAAAACATATGTCCAAACTCCTGGTTGATAGATTTTTGAGAGGAGTTTGTTGCATACTCATTTTAAAGGGTATGTAACAAAATCCTTTATCTTAAAGGAAACAGGGTAATGGTCAAGACTACAGGACCATTGCATAGGATGAATCTTATTTCTGAGGAGATAGTCACAGGATTTCACTATAAAATATTAAGATCTGAATAGCGTAATTTGAATTAAAGCCCAATTATGAGAGAGGTTTATAGGAGAAAAATATACAATTTTTCTGAAAACCAATATTCTCTGTTTAAGCAGAATTGTTCTGCGTATAAAGGAGTTAGGCAATATTCACTGTGCCCTATGATTGATACAGGTAGTCCTTGATTTACAACAGTTCATTTAGTGACTGTTCAAAGTTACAGCAGTGCTGAAAAAAGGGACGTGGGACCGCTTTTCACAAAACATTGCAGCATCTCTGTAGTCACATGATCAAAATTCTGATTCTTGGCAACTGGTTCATATTTATGACCATTACTGTGTCCCAGGGTCATGTGATCTCCTTTTGCAACCTCCTGACAAAGTCAATGAGGAAACCAGATTCAGTTAACAACCGTGTTACTAAATTAACAGCTGCAGTGGCTCATTTAACTGTGGCAAGAAAGGTCTTAAAATGGGACAAAACACACTTAACAAATATTTCAATTAGTAACATAAATTTTGGGCTCAATTATGATCATAAGTCGAGGACTACCTAGAACAAGGCAGAATATTTTATATATTTTGCACTTAAATGGAGAAGAATGTGCATGTTTTTAAGAACATGCAAACAGACAAAGATACCTTTCCTTTTTCTTTAGAAATACAGGTAGTTCCTGACTTAACAACTATTAGTTTAATGACCATAGCACTGAAAAAAAATGATTGGTTTTCACCCAACCATTGCAGCATCCTCATGGTCAAGTGATCAGAATTCTGGCAATTGGCATGTATTTATGACAGTTGCACGTGGGTCATGCATCACCATTTGTAACCTTCCTAACTGGCTTCTGACAAGCAAAGTCAATGGGGGAAGCCAGATTCGCTTAATGAAAGTATGATTCACTTAACAGCTGCAGTCTTTTACTTAACAACTGTGGCAAAAAGTTGTAAAATGAGGTGCAATTCACTTAGCTGCCTTGTTTAGCAACATAAATTTTGGACTCAATTGTGGTTGTAAGTTGAGGACTAGCTGTACCAGCATTACTGAATCCCAGAATCTTCAGCTAAAGCTATTATTATGATCTGTTTACAAAAATGTGAAGTCACAGCTGCCAGTTCTTTAGTTAGTGTTGGCCTTCATACTCATCAAGTTCTCCTTAAGAACCTAGAATGTTGTAATGTATTCATGTTGATATCATTATTTTGTCTTGCCTTTTCTATACATAACCAAGGCTCCTCCTGTTTACCCCATGACAACAATCATGTGATATGGATTGGATTAAAAGGGTCACCCAGCCGGTTTTCATGTCTAAGGGAAGACTGCAGCTCACAGTTTCCTGGTTTCTAGTCTATCACCTTAACTACTGTACCTTAAACCTTATTTTTTTAAAAAACTTTATTTAACTTTGGCATGAATTTTGACCACAGGCTCAAGCCGTTTCCTCCAAAGTCATGGCATTACTGTTAATGATGGGGGAGGGGGTGTTATTGTTTTTACTCTTTGTATATTGAGGAGGTTTTTTTGTAAGCCGCCTAGAGTCACTGAGAGTGGGTGCCCATACAAATTCTCTAAATAAATAAATGAAGTCATAGATCCAACATGAGCATTGAATATTCAGTTTAACTTGTCTATGTTTGTACACAAAAAAAAAATGATTACAGAAACATCACTATACTTTCTCAAATACTTAAACCATACCTGCTTAATGTTTTTCCTCATCAGGTTTACAAATGCATACATAGCCTTTAATTAAATAGGGAGAGGTTGAATGAATAACAACACCCTTTACTAACACTCTTGAAATACCTAAAACACCTTCTTTCCTATCCCAGTTGTTTAGTATACATATTTTTAGGATGGATCATTGTATAGCTGTTGAAAGTAGTCTCTGGTAAAAATATGTTGCTATGTTTACATGGCAAATGTTTATTTCAGAAAGCATAGAATTACTGTGTTATCAAAACGCTTTTGTTTCAGCAGGCAAGACTGGCCTAAATGTTATTTTAATGGGTTGTTTTATGTTATTTTAGTTTCGGCCAAATTATTTAATACTTTTAATTTGCTTTTAACTTTCATATTTGTGGGTTTTATCTTGGCTGTACACCACCCTGAGTCCTTCAGGAGAAGGGCGGTATAGAAATTTAAATATAAATAAATAAATAAAATAAAAATAAAATAAAACACTAGCAATAGACAGTATGAAAGCCATTTAACTTCTTGCTGCTATTGGAATTTTGAAGTATCAGTTCAATAGCCCTTGTGTTTATGTAGTCCAGAAAGTTGGGTTCACTGAGTAAAGTTAATTATGAGTGCATCTAGAGCCCATATTTTGTTCATTTTGGACAGAAATAATACGATTATGCATATTTACTCAGAAAGTTCTATAGTATGGTAACTTTGCTCTACCGTTTATTTATTATTAATTTATAATAATAAATAAAATCATTACCCTATGTTACCTTAAGGCAGTGATGGCAAACCTTTTAGATACTGAGTGTCCAAACTGCGTGTGCGTGCATGCCCAAACTGAAATATTCGTGAACGCGCACATGCATGGACATGTGCGCATGCATGCACAAACGTGCATGCGTGGGCATGCGCAGCAGACCCGAAGACAGTGGTGGGTTGCTTCCGATTCTTGAGAACCGGTAATAAAAATGGTGGGAGACTCCACCCACCCACCCTGACATCATATTTGGTGATCTGCGCAGAAGCACGTGCGCGCTCCCATTGCAAATCAGTAGTAAAGGTAAGTAGAACCCACCCCTGCCCAAAGACCAGCTGGCCGGTGGGCAGCAGGGCATCCCAACACCGGCAGGACGGCAAGAGGTAAGATCTTTTTCTTTCATGAGCTTCTTTTTCGTCGTTTGCAGGGAAACAGGAGCTCACAAAAGAAACACCACAGAGATCTGACCTGGGGTGACGGCATGCGTGCCAGCAGAGAGGGCTCTGCGTGCCACCTCTGCCATGAGTGCCATAGGCTCCCCATCACAGCCTTAGACTGTTGATTTTAGTAGATTCAAATAAGGTACAGGTAGCCCTCAATTTACGACCGCAATTGAGCTAAAACCTTCTGTTGCTAAGTGAGACATTTGTTAAGTGAATGTTGTCCCATTTTACGACCTTTCTTGCCACCATTGTTAAATGAATCACTGCAGTTATTGAGTTAATAGCATGGTTGTTAAATGAATCTGGTTTCCCCATTGATTTTGCTTGTCAGAAGGTTGCAAAAGGTTATTTCTTTTTCCAAAAAATACCTTGATCCTTGGGCACTGCAACCGCCATAAATAAGAGTCAATTGCCAAGCATCTGAATTTTGATCAGGTGACCATGGGGATGCTGCAACAGTTAAGTGTGAAAAATGGCCATAAATCACTTTTTTCAGTGCTCTTGAAACTTTGAACAGTCACTAAACAAACTGTTGTAAGTTTTAGGACTACCCGTAATGTCTTTGGTTCAGATATTAAGAAATTACTAGTTGAGATTTTAAGAATCCTTTATCTCTTTAATTGTTTCAAATGATTTAAGGCATTTTTATTTTCAATGGATAATGTTTAGATTAAGATACTTTTTGGAAAAAGAAATTGATTCATCCAAATTCATAATAGTTGGATGGAAAATGCTGAAACTAGAGCTGCTCCTAGAAATACAGATAGGAAGATTGAAACTTAAAATTACCTGTTTCGTTTCTCTTTAAGGACACAGGCGTGGGCAAATCAAGCATTGTATGGCGCTTTGTAGAGGACAGCTTCGATCCAAACATCAATCCAACAATTGGGTAAGTCTCTAAAACCTGCCTCTGTCTGCTGGGCTGGGGCCCCAAAGGGGAGTGGCATCTTGGAGGTGGTTAATGGATTAGACTGACGCCCACCTTTTCCCCATGCACACCTTGTTCCCTTCTTCCCATCTTGATTGATTGAATTTTATATGAATTTTAAATATTTGGTTTTTATTTATTGTTTTAAGGTTTTCTATCCTATTTTAATTTTACGAGTATAAGATGCCTAGAATCATCTCAACAAGATGGGCAGCTAGAAGTTTAATAATATTAAAAAATAGAAGTTTCATGAGCTAGGAAGCTAAGAGTTATATAAAGTATGTGGGTTTTTTCATAATTTTATTAAGGATTTTAGTTACAGTAATAAGAGCAAATGTAAACTAAACTTGCTAATCCCACCGCATCGTCAGACCCATGTAGACAGATGGTCCCCCAAATAGCCAGGCTGTATGGCAGGAAGGGCTTTATAGGTGATAACTAGAATCTTCCATAACACCTAGAAGCCAACTGCCAGCCAGTGCAACTCTCAAAGCAGCAGAGAGACATCATTGCACATACCACTGCATTCAGGACCACCTATATTTTTCAAGTGGTCTTCAAGGGCAGCCACATATAGGCAGGGGCGGGTTTCAAAAATTTTAGCAAGGGGTTCTCTGCCCGGTTGCAGGGTGGGTGTGGCCTCGTAGGCCTCCTGCGCCATGGTGGGGGGGGCACATTTTTGCCCTCCCGGGGCTCCGGAGGCTTCCCTCGAGCCTCCAGGAGGGCGAAATGGCCTCCCCAGGCTCCGGTAGGCCTGTTTCTCACCCTCCCAGAGCCTCCATGCATGCCCTGCACTTACCTGCATCCAAAACAGGCTGCATGGAGACTCCTGGCAGGGGTGGGGCCGGGTGGGCGGGGCCAGCCAGGATGGGATTTGAGGGTTCTCTGAACTGCACAGAATCTTAGCTAGAGGTTCTCCTGAACCCCCAGCAGCCCATCCCTGCATATAGGGTGCATTACAATAGTCCAATCGAAGGTAACTAACACTTCAGTGACTATTTGAAAGACTTCTCAGTCCAGGAACATGTGCAAGTGGCACACTAAGTAAACATGTGAAGGCTCTCTCAGCCACGACTGCCATCTGCTCTTGTCCAGGAGCTGTGAGTCCAAGAGGACCCTCAGATTCCACAATAGTCTCTTATGGAGAACTTCAATATAATCAATGACTAGATAGAAATCTCCAGAACAAGAGAGGGAGGGTATGTCAAAGAAGAAAAATTGCTTGATTTGTAGAATTAAACTCAGGACTGTTCTATCCAGGCCTCTACAAGCAGGCACTGGATCAGGACAGCGTAATCTGGTCAAGTCAAGATTGAGATGTGTAATTGGATATCATCACCACATTGACCTTATCCAGGGGTTTCATGTCGATGTTAATCAAAGGGCAGAGTGTCAAGTCCTATTGCACCCCACAGATCAGAGGCTGATAATGTGACCTCTCATCCCATCAGCACTGAATGAAACTGGCCAGGTGTTATATTGGAGTCAGTTATCCTGCACAACTAGTCAATTATCTGTCTAAAAAATAATGATAAAAGAGTTGAACAGTGGTAGTGCAACTTCAATGGAGATGACTTTTACTACTAATTAACTGTGATTGTTGGATGAAATGCTATGAAATAATATTTCCATATAGAGTTCTTCAGGATTTGTGATAAATCATTGGTTGCTAAGGATCAAGTTCTAACTGAAGAATAAGTGAGATCTTGAACAATTCCCTTGAAAAAACAAAATGGGTTACTTGTTAATTTTACCTTCTGTAAGAATAATGAAAATAATATTTACAAATACTCCTAGAAAGAATAACTTCATTACTGATATTTCATTGTTTTTGAGAAATGATTATGCCATAACACATTTTAGATTACTATAACCTAGTATATTTGGTCTATTTGGTTATGGATCTTGCCACCTCCTATTTTGGAGATACTTAGTATTGAAGTTGTACTGTCAGACTGCTACTGCAGATTCAAATGTTTTCTTTATTATAGACCAGTAGAGTCTAGGTAGGTCTGCACATTCTGCTTTTTTGACTTATACCATAGATACGTTATTCTGTTTCAATAAATGTTCCCCCAAACATGCTACCTTCAAAGGAATTCAAGGGCCACATCTCATTTACTGAAGGAAAAAAAAAAAAGGAAATAAAATTTACAAATATTTCTCGAATGGCTTATGATTGATCATTTGATCTACAATTATCCTAAACTTATTCCTAAATTTTAAAATATAAGGTTCAAATAGCAAATTAGAGGTTGCTTAATTTACATAGGTAATGAGCGAATACATTAAATAAGGAAACATTTGCAAGAACATCTATCTCCTGCTGTTTCTACCTGTCCCATAAGGCCTAATAGGATGAACATGATGTCCCTTTGATGAAACAGCGTCATGCAGTAGAACCTAGAATGCAGGACTTCTCTGTCTTTATGTCTGCCCTTTGGAACAAAATAATTCCCCCTCCTTGAATAAGGTGGCTCTAACTCTATTGGGTTTCCATAAGACTCTGAAAATCTGAGTTACCCCCAAAGCATTGAGATAGAACTTTGAATGAGTCCATTTTAAATGTTAATATGATTATGGTACGACCTTGGTTGTGTTACAATATATTGTGTTGTGCTTCTTGTTGATTTTTAAGTTTATTAGTTACTTTGTATTTTTAATTCTATGTACATCCTTGTTATTAAATCTGCTAGTTGAGTAGCCATATATAAATAATTTCAATGAACTGAATTGAATATTTGTTAAAGCATTTTTGGGAGCGGTACAGAAAATTATTTTGGAAAATGGATTGAGAATGCAAATTAGTGGCTGTTTCTATTACTTTACAAACATTGCCATAAAGATTTCAGAAAAAGTTAAATCTTAAATTTGCATTCTATATAAAGCCAGTTTTACTATTTAATTTCATTTTTTTTAAAGTGCTAATTTTAACATAATTTAATAGTTGGAATACTTCTGTTTTTCTTGATAACATCCTGTACTCTAATGCCATTAATGTAAGATGGGTTTCCACTTTTTAGCTTACATGAAGACTTAAAGGCTTCCTGTATGGTCAACCACAAGTGCCTATTTCTACAGTATCCATCCCATCCCATCTTATTTCCACATTCAGTCACAGTACACATACATGTGGAGAATCTGAATTTATTTTATTTTTATCCCACCTTTATCCTATATTAGTATATGCTGTATCCTGTGTATCCTGTATCCTGAATTCTGATAAATTAAACCATTTATTTTTGACCTTTCAAAAATCCATATAACTGATTGGTATCAGTTTTTTTCCAAATGCCTTCTAAACAATAGGCAATCCTGCACATTTGTTTTCCTTCAGCTGAAGACATCAGAGACTTTGAAAACTGTGGTTACAGATTTTTTCCTTCCAAACTCATAGCACTTCATAAATCAGGAATTTTGTTCAACATTTGAAGTGTGGCTTAGTAATTCTGCAATTAAAACCACTTAATGAAGTTTGAAGCTATTCCACATCCTTAGGATAATTGCTCACGTTTTAACAATGCCAAGAAACAAACTTTCATTTCACAAACGATACCAATAATAACCATATTGTTCTGATTAATGATACACAAAACGATATCCATATTTAGGGTTTTTAATGTTGCTATTTGCTAAAGAAAATAAAAATACAAGAATTTGTGTTAATATTTATCACTCATGGCCTATTTAAATAGTCTTAACCATGTATTTATATCATACTATGTGATTGTTTAGTTAAATCAATTTGTATAAAAGAAAAGAAAGTGAACCTTTTAACCTATATAGTAGTATATTCAGACAAAATTACTCAACAACCCTCCTCCATTCTAGACACTGAGTAATTGAATGCTTGCTCAAGTATGCAATGAGAAGCAATTCAAACCATTATATAATTGGTAGAGAATGGCAGTCCTTCCATTCTTGTGGTATAAATTGCAACATTAAAAGTATGTTATATCAATTTATTTTGCCCTCTGATTCCAGTTTTTGTTTTGTGTTGGTTGCATAAGGATAACTTTGCTAAAGTTTTCATTGGGTAATGTTTGTGTTAGATAATAAAATGAAATCTCTCTGTTTTACTAAACAAAGCATGTAGATGTATTGTGTCTTTGGCTTAATAGGTCCAGTAGGAATTGAAATGGCGTAAATAGAGGCTTTTAACAAAATGAATAAGCCTTAGTTCCTTGTGCCCAATTTTAGCAAAATTCTGTCCCATGTAGCTTTTCCTAGTAATAAAATAAAGCAGCCAGTCCAGCAACCTATTTTGTAATATAAACACTAATGAAGCAACTTGAACTTTGTGCACTTTCCTCCCTCTTTAAGATCTCTTACGAAAAGAAAATGGAATGGCTACTTCAATCAATTTTAGTTGGCTAAAATAAGGGTCCCCAACTCCTGGTTCTCAGTCTGGTGCTGGGGCACAACATGATCAGAACCAGGCCATGAAAGTGGTGGGTAAGGGCACATTTGTGCGCAAAGACAAAGCTTTATTTGTGAAAGCAGCACATGCACAAAACCATCTGCCCCCCACCCATCCCCGCCGCCGGTCCACCAAGCCAGAAAGGTTGGGGAACGCTGGTCTAAAGCATTTATCCTGTCTCATGTGTTCTCTTTACTTCTAGATAAAGAAACATGAAATATACACATTTTTCCTTCCATTTCATCTTTAAAGTTATAAAATTAATCTAAACTTTAATATGTTTTATGAGAAATATGTTGATTTTCAGTTCAGGGTTTTCTTTATTTTACGGTACATTCATGGATAACATTCTTTTCAGAGCATCTTTCATGACCAAGACAGTACAGTATCAGAATGAATTACATAAATTCCTAATATGGGATACAGCAGGACAAGAACGAGTAAGTAGATAAAGCATTTTTACATGGGGGTTGATGATATCTTTCTCTGTGACCTACTTATAGTTGGCTGTTATTGTAAGGGATTTTTATAATGCTCATCTTAATTAGCAGGAATCATTTAGATATAGTATAGATGTAGATTTTGTAACAGGGAATTTCAATATCATTGTCATTGTTTTGTGAGATGATACGCTGAGATAAAGGATAGATAAATGTCTTTGTAAATATATTATGTCCCTGCTTCACTGACCTTTCAGTACTTTTTTTTCAAATTTGAGAAAATAATCTTATTCTAATATGTCCATGAATTAAGATAAAATGAGACAATGAATTGGAAAACAATTTGATGCATAGTAGAAAATGCATAGGAAAAAGATATCCTTATTTAAATGTATACTAGTAATTACTCTATAGTGCATGGATCCATGCTAGGCTCTATGTATTCTGGGTCAGTTTATCTCTTGTATTTCAGAAACTTTAATGAGGCTTTGATGATAAGACAGCCTAGGAATGGTATAACATGGGAATGGTATAACATGGGAACTTAGACTCATAAAAGAAGGATGATTACTTTTCCTCTTAAGATTGCTATTTTAAAATTATTACAATTTTCACTTCCCCATTCTTGGAAATGTGATTTCCAATGCGAATTAACATTTGCCAGTAAAAAACAGGATCAAAATTTTAGCTTCACCCCCTTGTTGATGTAATTATATTTGCTAGGAAAAAACCCTTCCTTAAATGATTTCTTCTTGAGGAAGCCTTTTTCTGTGCTGCATTAATATTTGTCCACTTAGGCTCTTCCCCCCCCCCCCCCCACCTCCAAATGTATGGCTTTAAACCTGTGACTTTCTTGGAAGACTGCATGCAAAGCATTTGAAGAGGCACTTCACAAAATATGTTGGCTTCTCTTGAATACAGAGCTGCTTCGGAGCCTTTTCCCTGATCTTTTTGTGTATGTGTAGATAGTAGTCCAAGGGATGCGGTGGCTCAATGGCTAAGATGCTGCGCTTGTCAATCAAAAGGTTGGCAGTTCAGCGGTTCGAATCTCTAGTGCCGCGTAATGGGGTGAGCTCCCGTTACTTGTCCCAGCTTCTGCCAACCTAGCAGTTCGAAAGCATGTAAAAAATGCAAGTAGAAAAATAGAGACCGCGTTTGGTGGGAAGGTAACAGCGTTCTGGGCGCCTTTGGCATTTAGTCATGCCGGCTACAAGACCACAGAGACATCTTCGGACAGTGCTGGGTCTTCGGCTTTGAAACGGAGATGAGCACCACCCCCTAGAGTCAGGAACGACTAGCACATATGTGCGAGGGGAACCTTTACCTTTAGACAGTAGTCCACTAGAACTGCTGGCAAAAACATTATGGGCAACCCCACACTCACCCCTCCAGCCTTCTGGAGGACAGTGTTATGTCAGCATTTTGAGGAGGGATACTTCCATATACACACACACACACTTTCTATTTGCATCAACACACTTTAAGAAGTGCTTCTTTCAGTGTTTTGCACAGCTGTAATATGTAATGTTATTGCTTGAAACGTCCTCGATTTTATTTTTGTGTTTTCTCTTGAATTCTTTCATAAATTTTATGAAACTTTAGAGTCTATTTTTTAAAAAATATGTCTATATGTAGCTGATTTTGCAATGTTTGAAAAAAAAGAGGATGTTCTTTTTATTTGAGTAAAACTTGCAGCTCTTGCAACAAAAATAACATGATGTATTTATTGTTAGCTTTGTGACTCAGAATTGTGATCCTCCCCTTTTGTAGCAACTATAGAAAGGGTCAGTATGACTAAGAATGAAGAACATTCGGCTTCAATTTCCCACTTAGCCTTGACCTAATCACTTTGAAAAATGATTTGCATTGATTTTCTTATTTCACTACGTCTAAATAATGCATTCTATATGTTTTGCCTGAAGTTTTAAATTGCTTTAAATTGCATATAAAATGAGAGCAAGTTTTTTTCCCATGTCATATAGCACTTAGCACTTATATACCACTTCATACTGCTTTACAGCCCTCTGTCAGTGATTTACAGAATCAGCATATTGCCCCTAACAATCTGGGTCCTTGTTTTACCAGCCTTGGAAGAAACAGAAGGCTGAGTCAACCTTGAGCTGTTCAAACTCCTGGAGTGAGCAGTGAGTTAGCCTGCAGTTCTGCATTCTAACCACTGCACCACCACGGCTCTTCTATATCATATACTATTTTTTGTATTTCTAGTTGCTTTATTATAAATCTAGCAATTATATGGATACATCATAAATGGATTCATTATGTATCCTCATATTCTAGCAAAATGCCCATCAATGTGCCGGATATTATACTATATGTAATATTGTGCTAGAAATGGAAAATAAATTATGTCAGTATCTTTATTACTTTATTTTTTTTAAAAAAAAATAATAATTGAAATGAAGATATAATCTATACTGTCTCCTTGCACTTCCGCAATTTATGAATGCTACTTAAAACTTCACAGAGCATGAACATGTTTTATATTGTTTAAAGGGTTAAGAGTTCAGAGTGCTCTAGGTACATATAATCCACTGAACTGTGAAACTTGCTAAGCGATCAGAGCCAATCACTTTCTCTTTGCTTAAATTGCTTTTCCAAGTTGTTATACTTAGATTCTCATTTAATTGTATTACTTGTTTATTTGGAGGAAATGTGAGGAAAAAAAAACTGATAGAGGACAAAGATGCCTTATAATGAATTTTATTTTATTTCTCTTACTCATATTTCAATCCCACTTTCATTTAATATTTGATATGATTACTATGGCACAGAAGCCATTTTTATGTGCTCTTTCTCTTTACAGTTTCGTGCTCTGGCACCAATGTATTATCGAGGGTCTGCAGCAGCTATTATAGTCTATGATATTACAAAAGAGGTAAATTAAATGCATTTGCAAAATCTACAAATTGGCTGTTTTATTAGATTTACTGATCTTGTTGCTTCCATTTTAGGAAACATTTTCAACATTAAAAAACTGGGTAAAAGAACTTCGCCAGCATGGACCACCCAATATTGTTGTAGCAATTGCTGGAAATAAGTGTGATCTTAATGATGTAAGGTAAATTAAAGAGGGTCTTATCTAGCTGTTGGTAACATTTTATTACAAACCTACCAGTACAATCTCTTGTTATACTTTCTTTCCCAAAAATATATAGATACTTTAATCCTTAATTAATTTTAATACATTGAAGAAGAGGCAAGAAACAGTCTGTCTCAAAACAAATTTTATTAAGTTTTTAATATTCACTACTGTAATTTACTTTCATTTTTACTACCAGCCACTATGTTAATCAAACCACTGAAAGAAAATTGGGCTATTTGTTAAATAACAAAGGGTAGAAGGGATGCAGCATGAACTGTATATAACTATGATTAAACTATGATTGCATTTGATTAAATCCTGTTTGGACAAGGAGAGAACAGAACATAATTCCTAAATAATTGGTTGAGTGGAAGGCAGATGCTGGGAAAGCAAATGCTGAGATGATGTAGGAATGCTGAAATTAATCAGCTCTATCAGTTCTCCCTCCCTCCTGCTCATGGCAACTTGAAAGCTTTGCAAGTTGACATCTTCATTTAAACATCTAAATGCCATCCATGCTTTCCTGGACATACATCACAAAAAATTATTGGCTTTAACTATCAGTAAATCGTTATGGAACCAAAGGTTTGTTTTATGATGTGCAGAATTATCCACATCCTTTTTCTTGCTATATTTTATTCAATCAATCAATCAATTTCTATAGCTGCCTATCTCACTCTCAATCAATGACTCTGGGCAGCTACCTGTTATATTGAACCACTAATGTTTTGGCAGTCTAGAGAGATGTACTACTACTACAAATTGTGTTAAACAAAAACTGATTCTATTTCCACATCTCTCAGATAAAGTGTGTTACAGAGTTTGGCTTAATTGTAGAAATAACTGATAATCTACATTGATTTGCAATTAATTTTCTTTGCTAAAATGAAGGTAAATTATTGTTTATTTATAGTATGTATTCTCTTCCCACCCTGCAGAGAAGTTATCGAAAAAGATGCTAAAGACTATGCAGATTCCATCCATGCAATATTTGTAGAGACTAGTGCAAAAAATGCAATAAACATAAATGAACTGTTTATAGAAATAAGTAAGTATTCAACGTCAGTAAATCACTAATATTTTTCTTCTTGAGTTCCTAGTTACTAACAAAAAGGAATCTTATATTAGCTTCATGCTCTGCTTCTACTAGTTGTACACTCTCTTCATAATTAGCATCATTATCATTTCATCATTAGGATGCAGAGGTTAATTTGATCTTTCAAATCATATCTTGGCAGAAGAATGGGAAAAGTACCAGCATTAACATTTTTCATCCTGTTAAATGTCTTAACTTTGCTAACCAATAGGTAGTGGGTTTGTTTCATATCACTAGAAGGTGATGTTATGGAATATACAATAAGCATTAGAGCTGTGCAAATTTTTTGAAATCAGTACTTCATTGTGTTGATGTGAGAAAAGCACTTCTCAAATGTATCAAGTAGCCACATTTAAAACACATGTTCTTGTTCCCAAGTTTCTGTGGTGGTGTAAGAAAAATAATACACTTCTCTCCTGGGAAATGAATTTAAACATAGAGGTTTAATTTTTTTATTTACTATTTTATATATGCAACTGTTGCTATGAACATGTTTAAGCTTCATTTCAACTATCCAGTATCATGTTTAATAGTGTATTTTATGATAATTTGTACTAACGTGTGTGTGTGTGTAATTTATTTATTTGCACCAGAAAATTACCAGTTTATTATGTAAGATAACCTTTAGTTCCATGGAGAGAGAGAAAAAGAAATTATCAATATCTGATAATTAATGTTATGTAATTAATCTGATATGACACTGGCAATTTTGTGTGGTACTTTTACTTAATTACTATTTTTCGGACTATAAAACACACTCTTCCCCCCGCCCCCCCAAATTGGGTGGAAATGTCTCTGTGTCTTGTAAAGCGAATGTTGTCGAAGCCCCCGCCCACCCACCAGCCCCCACCCTTCGGCCTCTGCCTCCAGCAATTTGCCTCTTTGCAGCAAACAGCCTGGTCAGTTTCAGCACAGCCTGATTTAGCATGAGCAGCTGATTGGCGGTTGGATCGGCCTCCCGGAATCCCAACGATCAGCTGTTCCAGGCTGCGGGGATCGCCGCCACCTATCACTTCCTCCATGTGCCCCATTTTCGGCCTTCACACGTTCTGTTTTCAGCCTCCGCACATCCCATTTTCCATGCATCCCATTCAGTGGCAATAGGCGGCAATCCCCACCGCCTGGAACAGGCCGAAAACGGGGCGCACAGAGGCAGCGGCGATCCCCGCAGCCTGGAACAACTGATCATTGGGATTCCGGGAGGCCAATCCAATCACCAATCAGCTACTTGTGCTAAATCAGGCTGTTCTGAAGCTGACCAGGCTGTTTGCTGCAAGGAGGCAAATTGCTGGGAGGCAGAGGCAGATTTTTTTTTCTTGTTTCCTCCCCAAAAGGTAAGTGCGTCTTATAAACTGGGGCATCTTATAGTCTGAAAAATACGGTAAATAAACTTGAAATGCTAAATTTATAAGTGAGCTTCCAAGTTAATCATTAAGCATTCAGCTTAGATGAATTCCAAGCAGTTTGAATAAATTATTTGGTGTAGTTTACCAGTACTTTTGGTTTAATTCAAGAAACATAATCCTAGTACTTGGGGGGAGGGGGTAATATTTTTATTATAATTTATAATACATGAAAAGAAAAATAAGAACAAAGAAATGAAATAAGAACAAAGAGAAGTAAAAAAAGAGAAAACAGAATTTTGAATTCCGCCCTTCTTTTTATTGAGTAATTGCCATCTTACTCTTTTCCCTTCTTCTTTAACCCTTCCCCCATATCCATAAATCATCAATATTTCTTTCATCAAAAAATCCATATTAAGGCTTCTAGTCTTTTTTAAAAAAAAATGTATTTTATCATTTTTTTTCCTTGACCTTTAATCCTATTATTTGAAGAAAGGTTAGCCTGACTTCAAGGCTGCTGAACAATAGCTGCAGCATTGATGGTTAAATTTTTATCTGTATGACCTGTGTTTTAATGGGTGTCTTGAGAAAATTCTTCTCTCTTTTTTTATGTATTACCAAAATTATGAATGTCTTGTAATGGAGCTAGACTTTAGGAAGGAGTCTCTTATTTATTTATCCTGTTAGTATAGCCTCCCATTTTACTTACAGTCTTCCTCAATTGTTCTTTTAATGCTCTTTAATGCTGGTTTTTTCCCTACCTCTGCAGGTCGTAGAATTCCATCCACCGATGCCAACCCTCCATCTATTGGTAAGGGTTTCAAACTTAGAAGACAGCCTTCTGTGACAAAACGCAGCTGTTGTTGATATTGAGACCCAACAAGCTAGCTTTTATAAAGTATTTGGCCTTAAACATTAAGGGTTTATTTTGAGTATCTATTACTGATACTGGATTCTGATCTGCCTGAAATTCAAAGACCCCAACATGGACCATTTCTGGCATTCTTACATACATTCTGTGGAGATTTTGCTGTCAAGACTGTTCCCACATGTGCAGTGTACAGACTAATCTCTTACAGTCAAAGGGAATTGCCTTTCATTCTGCTTTAATCTTTGAAGAGGAGAATCCAATGTACAGATTATAAGCCTTGATATTTCATAGTTTTGTAGAAAAACATTGCCATGCTTTTGTAATTGGGGAAGTGAAACTAGCACTTTTTATGGATTTTGGAGGGAGTGGGTTAGAGAATATGGAAAAGAAAGGTTTGGCTTGATGTTAGTGCCATTCTACACTCCTCCTTGCTGTTATTATAAGCCTTAATGTTTGCATTGTTGCTTCTTGAAAGACTAGAAAGAACAGATGATTGATGTGGCTACCAGAATAATGATACTGATAAGAGTGACCAAATCAGCCCATTCAGTACCCAATCTTAACTTGCACTTTTTATTTTCTGATATTATTATAGAAATATAAATAAGAACTTTGCTTTTAAGCAAAACAAAAAACAAAAAAGGAAAGTGTAGCCTTAGACAATCTTAGCTTGTTATATTTAATTATTTTATAATTCAATAGATGTAGACTCTTCTTAATAACTTCCAGTTAAGATACTAGTAAGAAGCTTAGATGAAATAGATGAAAATAATTTGACCACAACTGACAGGTATCAGTTGCTGTCAGTAGCCTTAGAGCAAGCATGTTAGGTGGGAAATGTTTCTAATTGCTTAGCATAAACCATTTTATACTTATTTATGAAACCAGTGTCTGAAGTAATATAAATTATGAAAGTGCCATTGCTAAAGGTAGGATTCTTGTTTATTTCTCTCTCTCATCCATGAGGTGGATTGTGAAAGAAGGTCCTACAAACAATTGCCGGGAATTCCAGCCTGAGCAATGAGCCTTAAATCAGTTGGCGTCCTCTAGAATAGCACTGGGAAAGATTTCCCTCACTATCCAGTAGAGGTTGCTGCTAGAGTACTTTGAGGCTTCCTTTGGGAACAAATCACCGAATAATCTAGAAATGGCATTCAGAGCTAACTGTCTGGGACAGTGTCGAGTTGAACTCATCCTCTTTTAAACAGGTTATTTCTTTAGTTGTGCTTTCCATTTATTTTAAACTATAAATTAATCTTGCCCCATCATATGATTTCTTACCATTTATTTTGTTGCTAATAGAGCAAACATACCCCATGTTTTTTTCTTTTTAAAACATAGGCAGATAAATTCATAGTGCGTAAAAGAAGCTATCAGGCTTTGATATTTCCTATTTGGTGGAACATGTCTGGTGGCTTGCTCTTAATTCACCACTTAAAAGGGAATTTCAAGGGTTACGTTGGAAATAGACAGTTTATACTTTTTTATTCTATACCATATAATTCAGCATTACTCTTGGGAGAATTATTATAGTTAACCAATGCAATTGGAAGCATTGAGTCAAGATATTTAAGCCCATGTGAATTTGTCTAAGAATTCAAAATTCTAATTTTGTAGTATGTTGTATGCTTTATCAGAAGTTTCTCTGAAAAGAAAAAGCCAATTATGGAGTATTTGGCATTCTCGCTAACCAAACTATGAATCTGTATATTAATAGTGAAATGTATTGTTCATTCCATATCTTGACTTGTCTATGTCATTAGTTCTGAATTTTACTTTCAAGAATCAGCTTGAGGACATGTATGTCACCTAATCCAAAGAGCCATATACTGGCAATAATTATTGAGAATTGAAGCTTGGAGAGGTTGGCATTACAAGTCAATCCAATAGCTTTGACTCTTCACTGTTTTATCAAGGATATAATGTTTGTCCGGCAACATATGTGGAACTGAATGTGTGAAAGAAAGAATGTCATGGATGTACTTACTGGGGTGTTTTCAAGGCAGTTTGCTCAGTACTTTAAACTGAAGTCAAATAAGGATTTTTTTCCCCAAGTCTTTTATTAGGCTTCAGCAAGAATCTAGCAGTCAGTTCCTTCTAGCATTGTACCACACCTGAGAAACTCCCATGAAAACTCTGTGCTGCTTTGAAATTTGGCAAGGAACTACCATGGGGTTGAGGAAAGCAAAAATCTCTGGTAAACACATTTAGGACCTTTAGTGCTTAAAACAACTTTTTAGATTTAACCTCATGTTAGTTAACACCCCCCCCCCCTTTTAATGAATTGGAGATAATTAGGCTGCTTCTGTACCTACATTTTAATAGAAACAGACTGCACTGATGATGTTACCTAGTTCGGGTAAGCAATATCTGCAAGAAAACAACCAAGCTCAGAGAGCACCAAGAACCACCCCCACCCCCATTTCAACCATGAACTACAAATATTCTCCTCTTATCAGATAAATCATTGTCCTCCAGGGCAGCCTTGTATAGATATAATATTGGAATGCCAGTGGTTATATGTTTATCCAAACTGTTATCAAAACTTCTTCACATGGTTGTTTTATAATCACTTCTTATAATCACAAGAAACTATTCCGTTTCTTGATGATACTTTACTGGTTAGTCTAAATAAGTCTTTAAAATAGTTAATGCCACAGATAAAGAGAGGTCAAGCACAAAGCTTATTTTGGAGAATATTACTCACGTCTGGAGCAGCCAACTTTATCTCTGCATGATAGTAGCACCTTTCCGCTATTTAAGGCTTTCATCATTCACTTATGCCATTGTGATATTACTTTCTTACAATTACCTATAATTAGAGGGTTTCTTTTTATTTCACCTTCTCTGTAAACAGAATATTTTAACAGATCACCAGTTGCATCTTTTGAAGCTACTGCTATAGGTAGTCCTCGACTAATGACCACAATTGGGGCTGGAATTTCTGTTGCTAAGTAAGGTGGTTGCCATGGTTGGTAAGTAAATCAGATGGTCATTATCGAATTCAGTTCCCCCCATTAACTTTGCTTGTTGGAAGCTGGCTAAGAAGGTGGCAAATGGTGATCAAATGACCCCAGGACACTGTAACTGTTCTAAATACATGCCAGTTGACAAGTGCCTGCATTTTGATCATGTGACCATGGGGGATGCTGCAATGGCTGTAAATTGAAGACTGGTCACAAGTCACCTTTTTCCACTGCCATTGTAACTTTGAACAGTGGCTAAACAAATAGTTGTAGGTTGAGGGCTACCTTTAGTGTTACCTTGTGTTAACATGTGGCTCTGCAGAGTGACATTTCAAGCATAAGCTATGGCCTTGGCTGTATTCCAGAAAATTCCCAAGTCATTGAGTTCACTGCCAGCGGGTTAGCCTGCCTTAAAAGTTCCCTGGATGTACAGTACTTAATCAGATATTTGTATTGAGATAATTTAAATCTAAATCCCTACTCATTACTGGAGAATGGGGGTTATTTACAGTACCTCAGTGCTATCTGCTTATTGCTATGCAAATTAATATGAATTTTGAGCTTCAGCATCCCTTGTATTATGTGAGTTATTTGTAAAGAAAAAAAAATCTACCCACCAATCTTGCATTGATCCTAGATCCCATTCATAGGGCTTTTCTGGAAGGCGGGAGGAGAGACCTGGTGTATATAACCTTTATGTTATAGCACCTACAAAAAAGTCGAGAGTATGTCCTCTTTTGTTTTCTATATGTTGCAATGTATTAGTTTCATGTAACAGCACAAATCTTGTAAGAATTAATAGAAAGGCATCTGGTAAGAAGATACTGCTCTTGTCATTCAGCATCATGCTTATTCCAATATAAATTAAAACAAAGCTGAAGATAAGATTTCAATTACTTGGGAGATAGTGAGCACATAAATCCATGTGAAATCTCATACAGGCGAATAACCTGCAATAAACAGCCTGCTTGTCACCTTCTCAAAGAAACAATTCATTGGGACTTTCTCCCTGTAAATGCACATAGGATTATGGCTTTGATATGCATATACTTTAAATAGCAACCCTAAAGACTTCTCCCAATATCAGGTATCATTCCACCTTTCCTATAAATTATGGTTTGGACACTGCAGTAAAATTTAGGTCATTTATGTAGGGAACTTACTTTTGGTGGCATATCTAAGATATATTAGTCACCATGCATACATTTTAAAAACATGGCTTTAATATGCAAAATGCAATAGATAAAGAAAAAATGTATTTATCTTGCTTTAAATAGTGATTGAAAAGATAATGCAGATAACTACTGAAAATAACCTTTTGGTAGTGTCAGATCTCTGTTGCTACAGTCAGGACTAAAAGAGGTAAATACGTTTCTCTGACTGGAGACATTAATTAGGGGAAGGGCAGAGTTACTTTTGAAAGCATATCCAAAATTATCTCAAAACACACTCCTCAAAGTTCCAATGGGAGCTTGAGTCTGTCAGAAATATTCCAAGGTCCATTTGTCAAGATTTAGCTTTCAGATTAATAAACATACACATACCTTTCAGGTTGCCCAATGGAATTTAATTGAACCTACATGTTATTATTCTATATTCAGAAGTATGAGTTCAAAGAGTTCTTTCAAGTCTAGTAGCACTGCAATATAGAGGATTACCAGAGGTGGGCGGGACATGAATTAACAACTGGTTTGCCCAGCACCAAAAATGTGAGCACATGCGCTTTGCTCAGGCATGTGGCTTGCATGCATGCACACGTCTTAAAAAATGTAGCTAAATAGGATGGCATACCACCTGGTCGGGGAGGCAGGCCCACCCGTAGGCTGCAACTACCAGTTCGTCCGAAATGGCAGCAGCCCACCACTGACGATGCAAATAATATTACTAGTCACTCAGAAGGAAACATTTCTGGCAAATTATTTTTCGCTTGCTTCTTAAATATGTAGGACCTGCTGACAGTCTTTAGGCCTCAGCTGACCTTGCTGTAGTGATTCCCTTTACTGTTCCAACCTGAAAGCAACAGGAAATATACTGCAGGAAATGATAGAAGTTAAATTAAGGGAAAAAACTGTTTGGTCAGTCACTGAAGATAGGTGAGCCAAATACGGAAAAGCATTCTGTTTCGTCTTACTTTGTGATCAACATCTACTGTATCTCCTGCTTAGGCTTTTAAAGCAAAGAAGGTGAAATGTGTCTTAGCATTTTCTCATCTCTTTACTCTGTTGGTCTTTCTTCATCGTTACACTAATTTCTGGAATTAACAAAGCTGGCCTGCTATGCCTTTGCTACTGTAAGAGTATTTCCTGCAGTGATTGGAGGAAAGAGAACTCTTGCTATGAATAGCAGAATTATTTAGTTTAGGTCACAATGGGGTGTGCCTCGCTTCAACTGGAATCTAGTGTATCATATTGATTGCCCTGCATTTCAATGGATGTTTTTGGAATGTCCTTTTTCTGTACTGTGTTTGCTGAACAGGATAGGTTTTATTTTTAGTAGCTTGGATCAGCAAATCTTCCTCTGGATGATCTTGGGGGAATTCTAATTTACAGCAGGCATGCAGCCATTTGAACTGCCTAACCCACCACTCCTCATCTATGGTTTCACTTTATAAATAGCTGCAAGAAGGACTACACACATTTAGGACATTTCCCAGTGAAATTATATTTCAAAAGTACCCAGCTTTCAGTAGTCATTTTGGGTAAAAATGTTTTTTCCTTGAGCAGATATTTTTTGAGGAATGTCAAGATTTTATGATTAAGGTTTGGGGATTTTCTAATAACTCATTCTTCCATGACAGACACACAGGCAAGCATTAAATAATTGCCTTCAATTGATTTTTCTCCTCCTTTGAACTTAACCAACAGGATATTTTCATTCTGTCTCTTACATGAGCCATATATAATTGCATTCAATTTCTTGTACCCTGAGAAGCTTGCATCCAGAATTAAATCACTTCAGCATATTAAAAAAAATCAGAACAAAACATAATGATACTCCCAGCTCTTCCTTCCTGTATAGCAAGAACGCTATTATAGACTTGTCAGAAGAAACAAACCTTTCCTTTAAAAAATTTGTCTTTAAAATCCTAGGAAGCCTAAATAACAGTTTACACTGCCTATTGCCTAGCTTTTATTAGGGTCTTGGATGTTAAACCTGATGCATTTTGAATACAAAATATAGGTTCTATAACTGAGCCCCTCATTCATGCAAAATAACAGTAACGCTTTGTAGCCAAAATTGCATGTCATTCTGGAGAGCCACACCAATCAGATAAAATGTTCTTATATCAGTAGATAAATTCTGTTAATACAGAAGGTGGGTGATTTTTGTTACTTTTTGTTTTTCTATTGCTAAACTATTGTGCTGAGATCTCTAGCTAGAGTGGAGGGTGGAATAAAGAGGGTGGCTAGCTTAAATTTTCTCTGTTAGGGGAAGCAACAGAGGCCAGACTCCTGGACCTTTTATTCCCCTTTTCCCTAAAGAATGCAGTTAGTCTGGCAGAATTTTTGTAAATAGCAGAACTACATTAAAGAAACTTACTTTCTTCTGCTCATGGAGTTGCTCTGGTTCCGTTTTCAGATTTTTCTTGTAGTTTCAGTTTAGCCTTTGCTTGCCTTCACTGTGGGGAGCCATAGGTGTCGGTAACAGACCATGATGACATCAAAGAAACAATTATATAATTGTGCCATGCTGCCTGACACAATACAAGTTGCATTGTTTGCATGATGTCATATATTTTCTTACATCCCCATTGTCCCAAGTCCACTCTATCCCCTGCAGATAGCTATGTGGCAAGTTGTTACCTTGGTGCAGCATTAAATGTATTATCTTACATTTAATGGAACTGGTGAAAAGGCTAACCTTCAGAAGCTTTTTATCTGGCAGAAATGTTTTATAAATAAAGTATTTAGACATAATAGTTTAATTATAGTAGCAGTAGCTGAACTCAAAATGTTACTTTTCTATATACTCTGTGGTTGCAACTCAGAAGAAGGTTCTCAGTGCGGTGTTGGACTTCTTTTGCAAGATTATAATAAGCAGTACTGTAGGGTAAGGACTCCATCCTTTCTTTTTCAAGAGAAAAGAATACTGTTTGCATTGAAAAGAAATGGTTCATTAAATTTAATAGGGATTACTCGTATTCACTAAGCCAATATTATTGTCAGGCATGATTGCAGCTATTTACACTAGAAAAAGCCCCGTGTATAAATTCATTAACACATTTAATGACACATCTGGTTTGGCCTTTAAGTCATTTATACAGATCTGATTTAATCAAGATTCACAATTGCATCTTGTGGATCCTGGGAATTTTTTTGTCTTGGTTCTAGAAGTAATCTATATGGAAGACAAAAGTAGTCAGTGAATCTTTTTGCCACACCAATTCTATTCAGATCACACGTACTTTTAGCCTGCTAAATTATTGTGTATGTGGAATCACTGTAGTTAAAAACAATTATGGTTGCAAGTGTACACTCCATTTATTTAGATGATACAGAATTCATTTTAGACTTACAGAGACTGAGCAGCACTGTAATTCAGAAACACCTATGGCATTAGCATTTGTGCTTATAGTAAAGGAAAAAAATATTAAATATATCATAAAGAGCACTGCTCTTTTTTTCAATTTATAAACAGGTCTCTAAGTCCAATACTTAGTATCATCATCATTCTTCATGAGGACTATATTTATTGTGCAGTTTGTGGGGAAAACAGAGGCAGCAACGATAGGGGGAAAATATGATTGTGGGGATATGTCTCTGGAGATTTTCAATCATCCAGGTCATGGTTGTCTCAAAGATGCTGTTCAAAAGGCAACTGGATTTTGTTTTTTTCCCCTTGGAAATGTTTTGGTTCTCATTGAGAACTGAAGAAGCTTTTTGAATGAGAAGCGAAATGTTTTCAAGGGGAAAAAAACCAAAATTCAGTTGCCTTTTGAACATCACCTTATGGGGATATAAGGCTCTTAATATAATAGAATAAGGGGTAGTTAGTATGTATCCACTTAGTAGAAATCTTCAAAATGATCTCCCCATGGGGACATGGATAGACAATATGAAAATGAAATTCTGCAAAGGTAGATGTGTCAAATAAGTACAAAATGGTGGATAGAACTGTACAGAAGTCTGTTTTAGAGTGAGAGTTTGGAAAACGTCATTTATGGATGAAATGGGGTAAAAAGAAGATTTTTGCCTTATAAAAGTACACAGATGAAGACAGGCTCCACAACTTGAGAAGGACTTGATATTTTGTTAGATTTTATTCAAATTGCATTCTCAGGTCTGAGTAGTGCAATTAAAGAAGCAGATTGACAAACTGGAAAGGTTGGTTCAAAAGATAAAATCTTGGGGATAAATCTTTTGGAGGGAAACTGGTTATGTCTGCTTAGGTAATAAGTGATTAAGGAGAAAGGTATGTTGACAATTGTAAAACTAAAAAAAGAGGGAAGTTTTGCTAAACCCCTGGAAGTGCAAAGAAAGAGGCAATGTCATTTGAAATTGATATTTGACACTCCCTATTTTCTGCTACAAAATGATTAGTCACCCTACTCCAAGATATATAATATTTCTAAATGACATATCAGTTCATCAGTAAAATGGATTGTGAAATATAGTTTATAGTTAAGGAATTGTTTAGATCAAGTTAGAACAGATTGTGCCTCTTCAGATATTGCAGTGATTGCAGTCTCCTTTTTTCAGGAGAAGAGTAAAAGATGTAATAATCACAGAATCAGTGGCCTTCTGAATGCATAGCCCTTCTCTTTGGCTTCAGTTGAACCTGAATTTGCTTCTCCCTATTCAACCAGTATAATAAGCAAGGGCTTCCATTGCTTCTGCCATTTGGTCCGGGGTAGAGATGTATACAGTAACTGGATATCATCTGCCCTAATAATGCTGCCTTATTACAAATCAAGGGATGACTTCTTCCCGTTATTTCTTATAGAGAAGATAGAGTACCGAAGCACTCCCTTAGGGGTACCAAGGGCCTTCCCCTGTGACCCAGGTCTGTTTTAGAAATGTTCTTGTAGCACGGATTTGAGTATAATTACTCCAATTCTTGGCTTAATCTTTTGCTGTGCAGAAATTAAGTGCATGGTGTTTTTTTCTGTATCATTAAAAGGGAAAAAAATATTGCTATAGAAGTCTTTTTTTTCTTCACCCTAAAATTGAAATGTCACAAATTACTGAACTGTCTTGCTGAAATTAACATGTTGTTAGTCCAAGGGTACAAACTTTCCTCTAAATGTAAACATCAGTAAAGGGGCTGTGAGAAACAGAATCTTGGCCTGCTTAACTCTGGATTAATTTCAGTGAGGCTTGTAAGGGGTAACATTGCAGTGGATTGCACTGAGTGGAGGGGTGTCAGGGAGCTGCTTGTATTTGCATGAAAAGAAGCTTGATATTGAACTGGTAAAACATTGACCGTGATTTGCCAAGCATAGGGAAGGCTGAAGAGTTGAGTGTGTGTGAGTGTGTGTATACGTGTGCATGTGTTCTTAGGCTGGTCCTAAGACTATGTGAAAGGATGATGAAGTAAGGTAGAGAATTCCTAATTTCTAATATCTTGGCATTGGAAGGGTGGGGGTTTTGTTTTGGTCATTCCTTCTCATAGTTATAGTTTTGTGAGGGAACATTGATTTTAACATATTAAAAAGCCTTGTGTCAGCTTAAAAAATGTACTCTTATAGTATAACAGTACCCTAACTCACAAGCTGGATGTATTGTGCAAGATAAAAGTTGTAAATTATTTAATAAAAATGTTTGTAACACATGCTTTCAATGTGATCTGTAGTTCTTAATGAATTCTGAAATTATTCCCATCCTCATTCTTGAGGCTTGCATGTGTGTATATGTGTTGTTTAATGCCTTCAGGTCAGGAGGAGTCCTGACGACTGCCTGGATAAGTCCCTACCATTTTCTTGGTAAGCTTTTCTGACAGTGGTTTCCCATTGTCTCCAATTTAGGGCTGAGAGAAAACAATTGGCCCAAGATCACTTAGCTACCTTCATGCTGAAGGCAGGACTAGAACTCATGGTATCTGGTTTCTAGCCTGATGCTTTAGCCACTACACTGAGCTGAATCTATGAATCTAGGCATCCCAAAGTAAACTGGATAAAATAGTCACGTGTGTGGGATTATTTTACATTTACAATAACAGTCCTTTATTTTTATATGTGATAGAAATACTATGTTATCACGAGTTCTGACAATGCACTCAACATTTATTTTTTTACTAACAACAGATTTAGGCAATTAATAACATATTGTACAATTTATAGCACTACACATCATGTTGAGATATATAGGAATGGGCAATTTATTGACCATCAAATTATGTAGCTGCTGCCTCCTTCTAGCTCTATGTATGTACTATGCTGTACTAAGTGGCCAGCCATGATAAAAACTCTGCAATCTTCAGAGTTCCCCCTCCCTTTTTTTTTTAACAAGAAACTGATGCACTCTAGGAATATTCAAGTCCAACTACTATTATTCCCAGAGGGCACACGTTGGAGATAATGGATAGTATAGTCCAGCATGCCTTTCCCCCCCCATCAGATTGAGGAAAGATACATTAAACAAGCATGTATTTAAGCAAAAGATAACTACCGTCCTAATTTTGATATTGCAACATTGCCATTCTCAATATTATATATTAAGCTGCTACACATTCCTATGTTTCTAGCCTTTTCTATTCTTGATGGCCAAATTCTGTTCGTCTATTGTATCCCTGGATAGATTCCTATCTTCTCCAAGACTGGTTGGAAATGAAATGAATTACAGCTCAATATTACTCCAAAGAGTTTTAGAAGCTCTCTGTTGCAATCTGCTGCCTTCTATAACTGCTACCAAGGGGAGGGAGTATCTGTTTTCACTTCCAAACTGATGTATACATAAATCTGCTATTACTATAGAGCAGTTTCTCAACCTCAACAAAGATGTGTTGAACTTCAACTCCCAGAATTCCCACAGCCAGCATACTTCAGTTCAACTGTTTATCCCAAAGACAAATCCAAGAATCTAGTTTTGCAACAATTCCTCTACAAAGGAAGGAAAATAAATGGGTGCAATAAAGTTGCCGTTAAGCTGAAAGGCAGAACTTATTTTTTTTCTGAATAAAATACAAGCATACTGCCTGGCTTTAAACTGAATTTTCTATTTTATTGATTATTGTATGCTTTAAGTCCTCGGTTTCAAAGATCTTATCAGGCAACAGCACTGAATTTGCAAAAACCACTTGTAAAGGTATTATAAAACCAATCCACATTTTTCCCACCCTCTCAAAGGAATGGCAACTGTCAACATCTTTTAATTGTTAATTGTGGTGACAGATAATTCTCCAGGCTGAATCTACAGGGAAAAAGTCACCCACGCTGAAAGTCTTGGGCTAATTTTGTTTTGTCTGCAATTAATTATGACCTGGTCATTTCATCTTACCTTCTGGAGCAACCTCAACCAGAAGAACAGGGAAGCATTTCTTCTGCAGCAAAACATCTTTCTAAAAGGGTTTTTAAGAAGCAGAATACTTAAATATTTGCAGCCTACACTATGCAATAGCTTGAGTCATTTCCAGCTGCATTTTTGTGATCCTCACATAGACTTTCTGTAGAACAATGCTACAGAGAGTATATAAAATGAAGGCCCCTTATAACATCTGTTTTAACAATTCTAAGAGAATGAATAGATATGAGGGAGTGAATGAAAATGTATATATCAAAACACAAATTTTCACAGAGTTATAGAATTCGAAGAGGCCATTTAGATCATGAGTCCCCAACCTCTGGGCCATGAACCGGTAGCAGTCCATGGCCTTTTGGTAACTGGGCCATGTAACAGGCAGGCAAGCGTGCAAAGTTTCATTTGCACATGAGCGGGATTAGGTTGCCTGCGTGAAACCATCCCCCACAAGTCTGTGGAGCCAGAAAGGCTGGGGACCACCGATTTAGACCATCAAATTCAATCCCCATGCTTAATGCAAGAATCCAAAATTAAAAAGCCAAGCCTCCATTTCAGTCACTTACCAGCAAACAAAGCTAAATTCATACATATGGCTGTCCAACTGAGAGCTAGTTTGGTGTAGTGGTTAAGGTGCTGATTTAGAAACCAGGAGATTCTAGTCTTACCTTAGGCATGAAAGCGGGCTGGATAACTGGGCTGATCACTTATTCCCACCTCACAGGGTTGTTGTTATGGGGAAAATAGTATTATGCATATTTGCTTCCCAGAGTTATTTATAAAAGTAATACAAGTGAGATTTTTAAAAATCTAATAAATAAAAATAAAAAAATTGATGCTTGAACACATGCAACACAGAGGAACCAACTCTGAGATAATTTGTAGAGTTTTCAAATTACTTTTAGATTAGAAAATAGAATCTGCCCTTCTCCAGGTACCAATCCCGACTGGAACTATGAGATGTTCATGAATAGGATCTGATTTTCCTTTGTGTGGCCTTTCTTTGCAGAGCTAAAAATTTGCAATTACACTTCCTATGGTCATTTTTTGTTCAAGGTTAAACATCCTCCCCGTCTCTTAAGGTAGCATCTGACCAATGCAATGTAGGAGTGAAAGTAGTATCGCCCATGATTTGGAAGCAATTTTCAGTCTTCTTTTTTTGCAGCCATTATCGCACTGCTTACTCATTTACATCCTATCCATAAAATACAATTCCAAAATCATTTTCAAATATATCATCGACAAGCCAAACTGAAGAACGCTGAGTTGCATTTTATTATTTTCCTTCTAACCAACCAAGATCATATTGCATTGTGTCATCTAGAGTATTAACTATCCCATCCAATTTTATGTCATCTGTACATTCAACAATGTGTCAAGCTCAATATTATTTCTGCGTATCAAAAGGCTCCCATGTTTTTCCCCAAACTGCAAGTCAATTCAGCCCCAGGCAACCTGGCTAATAATAAAGGATGGTGGGAACAACTGCAGATCTACCCCGCTAAAGCTTTTTCACTTCATTGCAAGACAAAAGCCAAGTATGAATTTTGACTGCAGTACTGAAAAACAGGTTTTTATAAAAATAAAAATCATATTGTAGTGTTGCATTTTTATGTGGTAATGTTGTTCAAAAAAACATTTTGAAGGGGGCTTTGTGTCCAAAATAAAATTGAAACAAACCATTTGGACAGATGCAGTGATACACCTGAGGAATAAAGACCACAAGCAGCTAATTTTATATATTTATTCAATTTATATGGCAGCCCATCTCAATCAAATGATTCTGTGTGGCTAAACAACATTTTTTTAAAAAAATAACAAAAACTGAGAAGTACATTTATTTATTTTTTAAAGTATTTGCCACCCATCTCACCACAACCAGTGCAGCTTGTGGAGCAGAGGGGTAGTGTGCACAGATTGAGATAACAGCTCTCACTGTTACATACTATACCAACTGCAGATTCCAGATGTTCTTCGAGGGCAGCCTTCTGTAGAAAACATTGCAATAGCCCAACTGAAAGGATGCTAAGGCATGACTAACTGAAAGCAGAATCTCTCAGTCCAATAAAGGGCACAAGTAATATACTGTAGGAAGAAATATCCTTCTGGGTTCAGCTCCAAGCGGGGGAAAAAATACTGGAAACATGGAGAGTGCTTGGAAAGATGGTTTAATGGTGGACAGGATCACATGGTTTGAGTTCCTGAACAAAAAAAGGGACGAGATACAGCGAGTCCCTAGTTTTATGCTCTCTCTGGCTTTGAACTTCCTGGGGCCCAGAAAGAGTATCCGGATTGGTTGTCAGACTCCCAGGGGGTGGGGGTCTTAGCTAGCCTTGCTGGCTGATGTAATCTTCCCAGGTGCCATGTGGTGAGTTTCTGTTGCAAGATGGGTCCTATTGTGTTGCAGATGAGTTTCAAGGATTGAAAGATTGAGTTTCTGCCTCTGGCCCATTAACAAAAGGGTGAGGGCAGGAAAGTGGGAGCTGCTTTGTCTTTAAAACATGCTTCTCCATTTCTCATACAGGGAAACATAATATTCTGCCTTTTATTTATTTATTTATTTATTATATTTCTATACCGCCTTTCTCCCGTAGGACTCAAGGCGGTGTACAGTCAAGAAAAATATAGACACACAAACATCATAAAATTGCTAATTAAAATTATTACTTAGTTTGGTTAATTAAATAAAACCCAGAATTAGATAACATTTAAAAAATCATTCACATGTTCGTATGTTTAGCCCCGCCTGTTGGAACATCAGGGTCTTGAGGGCACGGCGGAAAGCACAGAGATCAGGGATATTCCGTATCTCCGGGGGCAGTTCATTCCAAAGGGTTGGAGCCCCCACAGAGAAGGCCCTCCCCCTGGGAGTCGCCAGTCAACATAATTTGACTGACGGTACTGTTGGAAGAAACATCCTTCTGGGTTCTGCTCCAAGTGGGGAAAACAGACACTGGAAACATGGAGACTGCTTGGAAAGATGGTTTAATGGTGGACAGGATCACATGGCTTGAGTTCCTGAACAGAAAAGGGGCAGATACAGAAAATCCTTGGGTTTTTATGCTCTCTCTGGCTCTGCATTTCTTGGGGCCCCAAAAGAGTATCCTGATTGGTTGTCAGACTCCCAGGGGGTGGGGGCCTTGCTGGCTGATGGTCACATGTGCTTCCCAGGTCACATGTGGTGAGTTTCTGCTGCTATTGTGTAGAGGGCTAATCCCATCTTTGGCAATTCCTACTATAGCTCTGCCTGAAGGAGGTAGATCTTTGTTATGTAGAGTAGACTGGCCCAGGCCTTAATGGCCCATTGACAAAGGGTGG